GAAGATGGGTGATAAAAATGAATAGAATGATGATAACTTTGGTGTTTTATTTCAATCTATTTTAATAAGTCAACCTTTGAAAAAACATGAAAAGGTGAATAAGATTCTGTATCCGGGGTTAAATAGAGTAAATAGATTTTTCCTTTTCTCTCTCTTCTTTTTACTTTCCAATTGAATCTTGAGACGGATTTTGTGCCCTGAAATTACAGACTAATCATTACTGGTGCAACATTTGTGTAATGTTATATTATTAAATTCAATATTATAATGAAAATTTGATTTGCAGCAAAAAATAGAGAAAAAAATCTTCTTGCAAATTGAAATGTTGATCATTTTGTTGAATTCAATTGTTCAGTTTTCTCTCTGTTAATGATTAATCAATAATGAAAACAAGGAAGTTTGTCAGTCTTTTGTTCAATTCATGACAAAAATATTGGAAAAAGTTTGCCTTTTGTCATTTTTCAGTTTCACTTTTTCATCACAAATTGGTTAATTAGTTTTAATCATTTGTCAATAATGTTGATTGAAATGGTAAAATTGGTTTCAAATTGACTTTTGTTTCAATTTGTGGAAATGAGAAAAATTCTGGATTCGTTTTCATTGAGTTTTGATCAAAGTTGAAACTAGTCATTATAAATCGATATCCATTGGCATTAAATTGTTTAACCTTGCGGGCGAAATTAACAATTGAAAGAGTTTTTGTCTGTGATTCCAATTGAATTGGCTAAATGAGACAACCTGTAATTGGAATAATTTAGTCGATCATTTGGGTTTTCATTTTTCGGATAATTGCGTTTTCCAACCAAAGGTAATCAAATTCACTGCAAATCCAAATGAAAGGTTAACCATCGATTGAAAACATTTAGGTTTCAAAGTTAATCGTCTTTAATCATCTTCAATCAATAATCTGTAATTGACAATTGAATGTTGTTACAATGAACAAATATGGGAGTGAAAAATGTGATTTAATAAATTTAAATTTTCTTTTTGCTTGAGAAGCAAAAAAACTTTAATTTTATTCAAATAGCAAATTTAATCATTTCAATATTGAATCACATTTTTGGCTAAATTGGGTTCTCAGTTGTTTCCCTTCTTGCGTTCATTGATCATTTAACTTGCGGCTAAATTTGTAATTAAAGGCTATCCATTATTAAACATCATCCAAATGAAATACAAGTTGTAATTATAAAGTAAATACAATCAATTTAATCCCACAATTTGTTACCAGATTACAGCTTTACATTGATTGATGGAAGAATCACAATATTAATGAAAGAAAGGGTTTCATTAGACACTTTTTTTCATCAAGTAAAGTGTCTTCCTCAGCCTTTAGCGTTCATATTTGAAACACTTTTGTGTATTATTATAAAAGGAATCAACAATTATCATGACTTTAAACATTTCAAAGAGTTAATGGTCAATGGAAGATGAAACTTGATAATGAACTTGACTTTGAAAACTTCCGGGAATTTAAAGATTCCGACAAAATTGTTGCCACTTTTTTTTGCGATTCACTGTTGGCTATAGTTGTGGGTAAACCTTCATTGAAATATGGTTTAATTGCGTCCATCTTGTCGCTAACTGCTTGTAAAATGTTGCCGATGCAGAAAAGCTCAGGTTTAACTGAATAATAATCAGAGTTGCTCTTTAAAGCAAAGCCTCACGTTAACAGATAATTGCCCATAATTTGACCTTAATTGAACTTGTAATTAGGCTTTTGGTGTTGTTGTTCAATTGCACACTTTGTCGTCTCTTTTTTCTGTGTTGTCATAATTGGTTCAGTCTTTTGGCTTCAAGTGATGGCAGCAAACTGGCGAAACATGATAAACATGATGATATGAAAGATTATGATTCATGATGTTAAATGTGAAAATTATGGTAAAATAATAAACACAGTCAAGAAGGTTAAACTGGAAATGAAAAGTGAATATCAAAATGCTGTTTATCACCCAAATCACATATTGACATTTATTTATAGTGACATTCAGATTAGTCAATAGACATTCAGTAAATTGATTCAGATTTTTGTCCAAATGACCAGTTGATCAATAATGATTCCAACTGCTCCTTCAATGAGTTGTTTCTCGTATTAATATGTAATATTAAGATTTGTTTCCATAGCTTTATGAGTTATGCCTGGTGATTTCCACAGTTTGCTTTGTTTTTAAGGTTTTAATTTAGTTTCATTGGAGATTTGAAGAGATTCAGATGAAAATAATAATGAATTTTTTCCCTAAAATTATCTTTTTGCTCTGAAATTCAAAAGTTAAATTCATCTTTCAGGCGCTTTCCTTGTAATTTTATAATTAAAGATGTTAGTGTATCTTAAAAACCATTAACAAACTAATTACATTGTAACAAAATTGCATTTCGCTGGCAGTTTTGGTGCAATTGGTCAGTAGCTCTGAGCATTTTATGAACTCGAGACCTTTCAGGCAAACTGAACATTTTCAACTAAATCCTGTATTTGATCGAAATTTGCATCGAACCTGAATTTTTACAGAAGATGCAGCTGAAACAGAAAAGTGAAAAGAGCGAAACCAGAAAATTTGTTTTAAATGAAGTAAATTGTCACATTGATTGAACCAGATAATGAATGGCAATTTTAAAACTGATCATTTTCTGATGGACTCATGATACTCAAATTTCGAACTTTGATCTTTCATTGGACAAAAATTTTCCACTTTTTTATCATAAATAATGCTCTAAACGATATTTTTCATGAAATCGAGCGATCAACAGTTCACGAAGTTCCCTTGTAAGATAGTCTTCAGTTTTGACTTCAGTTGATTGAATCTCTATCTGAAACATTGAAATAAGTTGTTTAAATTGATAGTTTAAACAATGTCAAGATGAAAAAAGACATTAAATATTGAGAAGTTTTACGTTTCTTCATTTACAATTGAAATTGGACAAAATTGGCAACAAATAATGTTTAGAATTGCAATTTTGTTTTTTCTTGCTCTTTCTATTTCTGTAATATCAACCTTTACCTTTTGATATTGGTAAAACTGGGAACGTTGTCATGGTTACTTGACGACCTCACAGGAAAAGGGAAATTATAAATGACTAGAGAAATGGGTAAAGAAACTTGGCCCACCAAGTGAGAGATGATTTAAATCATAAAAATTGAACAATTTAAACTGATTTCTTTCCTTGTGATTCCTTTACCAATCATTTGACTTCGTTTCTTGACTTGTTAACCTGACAGTTGAAAAACATTATTATCATCATTAACATACGTATTGATTGGCATCAACTTCAATCAACTGTCAACACTGATATTCAATATCAATTACAATTTTTGGTAGCCTTATGTTTACAAACATTTCATCTTTTATCATCTTCATAACTTTACTTGTCTTCCATCACTTCCATCAAAAATGCCCAACACAAGTGTAATTGAAGCTGATCAAATCAAATGCAACTCACAGTATTAATCAAATGTTATTTTTCAACCTTTTTTTTCTCTCTTCTTCCAGAATTTACTTTCAATAATTATTATTATTGTGAGCTATCAATGGCTGGTTTAAGCCTTGATTAATGATTGTCTTTTAACTGAGTGACAAATTGTTTCTCTCGGTTAACCTGATAATCAATCAAACCTGTAAAGGTTAATTGGTTAATAAAGCCTCAACAATTAGTGTCGAGCTTTAATGGTTTTGACTGTTCAAAGGAACTGATTTTAAACTCATTAACTTTGCTTGACAATCAGGCGAAATTGTCTATTAATTTAGTCTAATTTTCACAATTAAATTGATTACAATTTCCTTTTTAACTTTGTTTCTCTCAATGTTTACTGTTTATGTCAACCTTGCAAGTTGAATGTTTAATGTTACAGAAACGTCTTTTAACGAGAATCAACATTGAATTGTTTAACTTTCAAGGTTTACCAACCATTATAATTAACATGATAATTATGATCAACAATTAAGATCAACTTTTGTCTGAAACATTCAACATTGTCAATTGAATTTGACTTTTTCTGTAAAAAATGGTTTGTGGTGTTAACATGAAGCCTGTCCAAGTTACTGATTTTAATGGCGCACAAAGTCTTGATTTATTAAATTTTACTAATCAAATAATTGCTATTAAATGAGACAAGTTTAATTGACTTTAGGTTTTCACTTCAATTATGAGTTATTGTGGTAAACTGATAAGACTAGTCAAAACATTTTCATCAGATTGTAAATTTTGGTAAACTTGTTCACTTTTCCATCCAATTTGTCCTTTGTTTTGTCTTTTGCAGCTCAATTAATTTGGCTTTTTTTACTTGTTTATTAATGTCACGATGGTGATGATTAGTTAAATGTACCCTGAGGAATAGTTCAAGATTCAAGACTATTATCTAACAATTAGAATCAATTCAAGTCTATTAGATGACAAGTAGATTGAGAAATTTGTAACCGCATTCAGGTTTGCTTCTTCTTTTTCGTCTTTTGCCGAATTAATCTGATCTTTACTTTGAAAATGTTGACTCTTCTTGTTTGTGACTTAATTTATTTGATTTAATCTTTAAAATTCATCAAACTAATCAATTAATTATATACTCAAACAAACTGACAGTCTATGACCTTTACGCTGATAACAAAATAATCAAGCTTAAACCGAGTTGCATCTGAAAATGATTTGTTAACTGTGTGCTTCTGAAAAAACATTACCTTAAATGTCCTGAAAGATTCATTAAAACATTTAACAGATTCAGATTCTAATCATCACCACCACTAATGAATCACTTGATTATCAGGAGGAAAATTATTTCTTCTTTCTCTTAATTAAGTTCACTAAATCTATCACTCAACAAATCATCTTCAGCGTCACTTCTATGCAACAATTGGAAGCTCAATGGATTGAAAAGGAATGCTTCTCAATAATGACTTGAATACTGATTGGCTTTCACTTGTAGAGCTAAAATTGTTGATGTTTTGTGGGTCAACTGGAAATGGTTCCTTTTGTTTCTTTTGTCTTTAATTGTTGTCCTTTTTTCCCATGTTTATCAGGTGTTTGTAGCCAAGGAACAGCTCCATCAGTCTCATCAATTAATCGAATCCTCCGTAATCGAGCCTCTCAACGAGCTTTGGCTGAGTTTACACGTAACTATCAATTATACGCGGCAACTTCAGCAGTTCATTATCCAATGACACCTCATCCTCCAGTGCCTCATTACCCAGGTATACAATTTGAATATTTAAATTTAAAGATTACTTTTCCTTCAACAAATCCATGTTTTTTGGCATTTTTGTTTAATTTTTCGTCTTTTTTTTGTTCTCTAATTATTTCACCATTTTGAAGCAGGAGTCAATCCATCAAATCCAACTATGTATCAATTAGCAGCCGCTGCTGCTATGATGGCCTCAACACCTCCAACTGGTCAACCTTTTTGGCAGCCAATGGGTTTACCAAATTCAAATCTTATCCATCCATCAATTCAAATAAGGGAAGTTGACGGTGAATCTGGAAGAGAACAAGGTAAAAATTTGAAAATGTTAATTAGTGCTCGACTACAGTAATGGGTTATTCGGGTAATTCATTGTTTGACTTGAATATTTACTCAACGATCTTGCAATACATTATTAATTGACACCTGATTAAACACAAAGTTACTATTTCACTGAAAATGGTAGATACACACAATAATTGACATATCAAATAGTAAATATTCAACCAATTAATGTTTAGAGGAACATTGGAAAAAGTCATTTAGACTGCATAAATTAATTAATTACCTTTTAAATTTTTCCATATTTTCTCGGTTCAGATATTAAAGAGGAAGATAAGGAGGATAAATGTGGCAGCGGAATAAACAGCGAAAGCTCATCACCCAATCTTAGTTCAATGACCAATCCCAATCAACCTAGTCTCGGCTTCGAGCATTTAACTTTCAGTTCCGCCTCAGATTCTGCTGCCAAATTCCGTCGAAATCGAACCACCTTTTCTCAAGATCAACTAGAAATATTGGAACAAGAATTTGAGAAAACACAATATCCTTGTGTTTCAACTCGTGAAAGACTTGCCCAACAAACAAACCTCTCTGAAGCTCGCGTTCAGGTAAGAATTGAAGCTTGACCAAGTTAAATTTAACTCAACTGGTAAAAAATGAAAACATAAAATGATTAGAGTTGATCATTAAATGATATCCATTATACTCATTCATTGGTCAAGATTAATTGTTCAATCATCCAAAAAAATGTAGCCATCAATGTTTGCTTTAAGTCTTCTTTCATCTAGAAAAAAAAGTGTTAATCAATCAGATTGTTTTTTTTTGCTGTGCATCAGTAGTTAACCAAAAACTGACTTGCCTGAAATAATCAGCTTGAATTGTGAGGGAAAAAACACACTTTACAAATTGATTGACGGAGTGATTTGTAAGAAAGCATCTTCATACTGAAAAAAAGATCAAAACAAGATTAAATGAAAAGAAGAGAAAAAATGTTATAAAGGTAAACTTCCCGGAAGATATATTAATATGCTTTGGTTGAACGATCATGTTTTCAGGAACATGATAAAATTATAAATAAATGAAGCTTGAAACATATCGTTTGGCCACCGAAATAGTTTCTTTTAAAGAAAGCAAGAAAAGAATGGTCCATCTGATTGTTGGAATTGCTTATTCTCTTCAAATTGGCCTTTAACAGTCAAAGGTGAAGAAATGACCAAAATTTTGAATCATCTCGACGAAAGAGTGAAGATAGGAATGTAAAGAAACATCACTACGTAACTTTACCTATCACATTCAATTGACGTTTCTTTTTTTCTGTTGAAGCTTCAAAATTTCATATCCTCTCCACAGTTGGCCTTTAGTTGTAGCAACTATTTTTTTAGGCAAAATGTAATTCATTCAATCCATTGATTTCATCTGGTTAGTTCTGTGAAAGAGAAAAAGAAAAGGGCAATGAATAAGTAAAATCGGATGGGAAATTGATTTTACAAATCAATAAGTTAACAAGGTATTTGATGGGCATTTACAGCTCAATTTAAAAGGGCCTACGCCTGAATCCTGATCAAGCAGAAACTTACACTGAGTGTGATTGAAAAATATATGATAAAAGGGCCTAAAAATAATGTAAAACACAGTTAGAGCTAATCAAATGGTTAAATTAAAATCTGGTAATTTTGTTGTTAACAAGAGAAGGAGAGAAACAAATGTTACCATGGAGAATTAACATTAACAGCAATAGCCATCAACACTTTGTTATAAAACTGATGGTTATGATAGCGTTTAATCATAAGCCTATTTAGCTGCATCTCGCTTCACCAATACCAAGCTTTCAGAGTTCATAGGCACTGGAATCGTGTCCATATTGCGTTTTTTAGTTGTCACATAGGCTGGTATCAGGTATTGGGAAAGGTGTTTAAACTGCCAAGATTGTGAAAGATCGTCTGACAATTCAAATATAGTTACTCTCCTTGTCTTCTTTTCATATTCATTTTGACTTTGCTTTTTTGTTTCTCACTGTTGTTAACAATTGCTCTTTATGTACTCTCAGCTTTCAGGGTGTTTTGTTTTTCAACTATCATTTCAAGTTTGAATTGTTATATCAAATAATAATCAACGCCACCATTTCTTGTGGTCATCACTGTAGCTGTTGGCGTCCTATGTTTTCTCATCATCAAGTAGTCTTGACCTTAAAGAGTTTTTTTACTTCAACTTTTCCATTATTCCAAACAAGATTTGGTAACTCGTAATTGTGTAGTCTAAAAGATGTATGATGATCGTCATGGTACTTAATTATTAATAAGATGATGAAAATATAACTGGTTTTGTGGCCATATTAGGTTCAGGAGATGGAACATTCATGTGTATCATTCATTACTTTCTTTAAAAACATGTAGTTAAATAATAATCCGTCAATGGGGAGGCAAAGTGATTGAGTTCATTCAGTCAATTATCAATTTGTAAAAATTAATGAATCAAATTGAAATACCAATACCTATAAAGTATAGAGGCAAGAAAAAAAAGAAGGGTTACTATTGAATAGAAATGGCTATTGTAGCAAGCGTTGACCATGAAAAAATGATGAGTCCAAATACCTTAAGCTGTATACAGGTAAAGTGATTGGTTAACGCGCCTTTAACATTGCAACTTGTTTCAATTCCATTTAATCGAAATACATTTTACAATAGTTATCACGATATTGTAACTATAATGTAACTAGCAAATCACTTGAGTTGCCTTTTTACAAACAAGATGGAGACCAGATTATAAGATATTTAGTTAATGACAGGGCTCATTGATCAGGTAACCTGAAGATGGGGGGAGAGAAAGAAATAAGAGAAGAAATAATAAAGTTAGTGAAATACATTGATTGGTAATAATAGTTATCAATCTGAATTTAGCTAAATGATGATTAGCGGCTAAATATAATACTTGTTCACAGAAAAACCATTACCAATGAAATATTTGAAACAGTGGAAAAAGAAAGTTTAAATCTAAATGGTAATAATGATAAAAGTAATAATAATCATCAACACACAGTAATAATAATAATGATGATGATGATGGCGATAGTGATGGTGATGACTGTCTTTTATATATTTATAACTTTTATCATCTGAATCGCGTCCAGGGTAAATCGAAGTTACCTTTTTATGGTCACGATTGGGTGCTTCATAAAGACGATGGGTGATTATAAATATAATAACAATTTCATTACAATGTCTAGATTTCCGATTCCGGATCTTTCTTATAGACATCATCACTTGTTCATCAGCATCATCATCATTAACAGCAACATGGTTTTTCATTCTTTTCTGATACTATTCTTATTTAAATGAATAAAAGCATGCCTACCATCATCTTGATTACTTTTCTTTCATTGACTTTGATGAAATTGAATTTATCTTGTTTAAAGTGATTCTTCAAGTCATTAGCCACTTCGGTTACTCGGTAAGAAGTCAATTTTATCGTCTGCCTATATTTATATCCATGATTATTGTTGGTCTCCATCATCATCTTTCTCTCCTTTCGGCTCTAATACTTTTTCCAACGATCCACCAAGCTTTACATTTATCTCAAATTGCTCTGATATATGAATACAGTAGTTATCAACAGGTACAATTAATTGGATCTAATCAGTTAATATTTCTTTATGCTTCACGATTGTCCAATAAAATAATAAAATAGATGAACTCAATAGTGTCCCTTTTGCTTGATTTTTCCCCATCAAATAACATTTAGGTCCAATAATCTTTTGATAATTTCAGCTATTATTATCATCATCAGCATATTTAACAAAACCTACAGACTGGTTATGAATGGATGAAATGGTTTTATCCTCTTTGATTCCTTGAGTATCGTTCAATCATTGAAACCCAATTTTAATGACAATAGGCTTGTTTAAAGCAACAACCTCTTTTATCCAATTCATTGTCAATTGATGTAAATTACCAGATTGCAGAGTTGTTGAGTCAACAGTAAGCCAATATTGATGAGTATGCTTATTAACCCTTTTTTCCTAATAATGACAAAATTGGTTCAATTCAATCTGCCACAATGAAATTTGGAAACCATCAAATCAATCTATAGTTGAAAAAAAGCGAAACAAGTTTAGATTGAAAACGATTAGTTATTAATAGTGTGACAGTGGTTACAAAATCAATCGAACATGGGAAGTTTGCGAAAGAATGTTTATCTTTGCTCAGTTAGTAGATTAATAGGGTGAGGAAAGGGAAGAAAGAAACAACTCAGCGATTTAATAAAAGGAAAAGGTTTACCTTTTTAATTTAATCACAATCTGATTATTTGTTCAGCCTCTTTATGAGTTACTTGGTGGATACCTGGTTTGATGATAGGTTACTTATATTATAAACTGGCTAACAATCAATAAATCAATTGCAGACAAATTTGTACACATTTAATGAAACATCTATTCGTGAACATATCAAAATGTGAATATAAATAGAGCAATTCAAAAGTTAACAATTTAAAATTGATAATTGTTAATATTTCCTCAACAAAATACGACAACAAAACAATAACAGTTGATGAAAGAGTTGAAATCTAATGACCCTTAACTGTTGCCATCTTACGTAAAAGAAGATTAATTAAAAGAAAGTGAAACACTTCTCTTTCTCTGGTCATTTGATTTAAGAGTTTGAATAAAATTTAATACAAAGAGATGGCGCTAAGAGTTTTGTTGATATCTGATGATCATCTTATGATCGATCATTTCAAGTTTTCATTTTTAAGATTAATTTGGTTGGATTTTTTTGGTAATCTATGAATTGAATTGTTTACTAATTTTTCTTTGTTTTGTTTTTTCAGGTTTGGTTTAGCAATCGTCGTGCAAAGAATCGTCGACATCAACGCATGTCACGCTCAAACAATTCACGTTATTCATCTTTAGCTGAATCAAGAGATTCTGGAGACTCGCCTGGAATTGATATGATCTCTCGAGATGTTTCAAGGGACTCTTTTGATACCAATGTTTCCTCCGAGCCACCGCACAGTAATGGAAGTGTAACGCCAACTCGAGCCCACCGAGCATCATCTTTATCCAAATCTCCTGAACATAAACCTTTATCACCATCACCACCGACAGGTCCAGGTACTGATCTTCTATCGGGAACTCGAAATACCAACAGTCCATCATCATCTTCATCACATTCACCCTCACCTCAACCACCTCCATCAAAGGTTTTAATAGCGCCCACTAGTCTTATCATAGGTAGCGTTGATTCAGCTTTCAAAAAGGTCACCTCCAAATGACCATTAATTTCACCAGGAAACTTAACGAGATTAGATTAGAACTATTATTTATCTGTTCAGAAACCGCTAACAATAGAAAATCATTTTTGTTGAGCGAAAATTGATTTAAACTTATCATTTAAATTCCTATTTATCATTTTAATCAACCTTAAGTAACCTCACTTTTACCATAACCATCATTCCTATCATTCTAATTGTCATCTTCATCATCAACCTTTCACCATCGTCCCAAATTCGGATTAATGCACCTGATTTGAGGAAGCACACAAAAAATTGTAGATCTTGAATTCATCCAAAAAACAATGCTTACTTAACAATCGACAACAGTCTCAATCAATATCAATACGGACAATGAAGTGGAAAACTTGAACTAGTAATTTAACAAACAAAACTCTCTATTTATCTTCATCTAAAATGTCAGTTAATTGTGATTTGTTTCATCAAAAAAAGCTCACAAATTTGTTCAACAACCTTAAAAACTATCCCTTTGTATCCTCTCTATATCAACAATTAATTTAAATGTTCAATCACAATTTGTAACATCACATTATTCACATTTTTCACCACTTTTGTCAACAACTTATCACTGTAATCATTTACTTTTGCTAGAAGCAACCAAAAACATACTGATAAATAATCAATCACAGTATTAAATAAGTCCCTTTAATCAATACAATCCCTTCAAATATAACAATAAATTAAAAAACAGTGTTGAACCAACCAAATATTACAAGAAAAACAATCAGAATCTATGTTTAATCGCGACAACCATTAAAAGCATGGAAACACGAAAATTGTAGCTAACTTGAAAAGTCGTCAAAATAAATATTGTCAAAAATGATTAAATCGTAACATTAATTCATTCAAGTAAATTGCGTGTTTCAGCCACCAACAGACAATGAAACCTAGAACTGTATTACTAGTTAAAAATATTAATGGATAAATGATTTAATGGTTTTACTGTTATCAAGTACATGAAGCACAATAAGGTTTCAATTTGTTCGGATTAAGGTTTACACAGTCATGATGATTCTTGTTAAACAATTGTTATATCTCGTGAAATGAAGCCATTTCAGTGAGACTTTCAATTTGCTATTTTCAATTTTACTCTCAAACTATCATCTTGAGATACAACAATCAATTGTACCATCTTAGCAGATAGATTGTCATTCAAATGTGATTCCCAAATAAATTATCAATTAAATAAATTCTAACGTTTATTACAGTGAAATCAACTTCAATCTTGATCTTCAAACTAAAATAATGGTCAAGGTGATTATAATTCATGTTTGTTTACCATTTTGTCAATCTTTTGCTAATTTTCAACCTTTGCTTCTTTAAATTCATCCAATTTTAATCAGAATAAACCTCGAGATATCTTAGATCTTGAAAATGAATTGCAACAAATCATGACTGATTTGAGGGTAAGTATCTTTTAACTTTACCATGGATTAATACTCTAACCTGGATATTTATGATGAACACTTGAAAGGCAAAACAAAAAACTGTTCAAGATAAAAAATTGGAGGAAATTTGTGGCGATATGCCGCCAGTAGTTTCGGTTAAACTTGGTCTTCGTCGAGCTCTTAAAGGTCATTTACAAAAAGTAAATGCTGTCCATTATGCTGGAGATAGTCGGTGAGTTGAATATTTTCATAATAAAATTAGAAAGAAAATTGATTTCTCATTTAGTTTGATGGGGAAAATTTTGTTATTTGTATTCCACATGAACATTTACAGGTAATGTTTTATCCGTAATTCAACAGATACTTAGAGTTTAGTGACTTATCTTGACAATTTAAATATAATTACATCGTTGTTTTGATTTAATACACAAGAGTGTTCATGGCTCTCGTTGTACTAATATCATCAGTTTTTGCGTCTGTACAATGTCTAAATGTTTTGGGAAACACAAGTTCCTTAAATATTGCTTTATTCCTTTTATTCCAATCAGGCATCTCGTCTCGGCGGCACTTGAAAGTAAGCTCATAATTTGGGACACCATCACAGGGAACAAGGTAAGGATAGACAGTTTCAGTTTACTTTGTACCATCATTGTAGTTTCATTTTTCCCGTGAGTTATCCTTGCTATTTTTGAAACAGCGTCAAAATCAACATTGAATGTTTAATAAAATATTCAATTACTGTTCAATTGATTAAGGTGAAAATTATTTCTCTTCGATCAAGTTGGACCATGACTTGTGCCTACTCATCGACAGGTAATATGGTTGCCTGTGGTGGTATGGATAATATGTGTTCACTTTATGATCTCAATAAGCGCGATTGTGACAATGTTGGAGCCAAATTGGTTCGAGAGTTGGCTGGTTTCGATGGCTTTCTTTCTTGCTGTCGATTCCTTGATGATACAAAAATAATAACAGGATCGGCCGACAAAAAAGTGTAAGTTTCCACTCGTCCAATATTCCAAACAATCAGGAAAAAGAGAATAGAATAACTTGTCAGTCTTTTATCAAAATCAATTATTGTAGCAGTTTATAATAATGGAAATAATTGTTATTGTAATTGTAATGTAAAAAAGCAACAGGATTAGCCAATTAAGGCAAATTGATTTATTTTGTTCTTTTCAAAGTGAAATGAATTGTGTCAGAATGATGATGAAGATGATGTTTAAGTTGATGGTGATGATGACGAGTTTTCATTACTGGTGATTGGTACCATCGCCAATAATCAAGACTTATTGTTTTCGGTAAATTTGATATTCTTACGGCTCTTGAGCAGATTGTTGACCAGTTATCTTGTTTTCTTTACCAATTAGTATTTGCTTTGTTTCATTTACTTCTCCTTTTGCTTTTAAAGTGTCCTTTGGGATGTCGAGTCTGGAGCCAAAGTTAAAGAGTTCAGAGGTCACACTGGAGATGTCATTTCTTGTGCGATTTCGTATGATTCGTCAAACTTGGTTACCGGGTCTGTGGATAAAACAGCTAAGGTTTGTACTTTTTCGACCCATACAGAGTCGTCTTTAACAAAAAGAGAAAGAGAGAGAGAGAAGGAAATAAAAAAAATAGAACATTGAACTAACATTAATTAATCAAGTAATACGTGTGTTTGTATATACATTATACATTGTATAAAAAAAGGAATATATAATTATATATATTTTTAATGACTTTGTCTATGGTCGAATTACTTGTATCCATTGCAGCTTTGGGACTTGAGGACCGATAAGTCAGTGCAAACTTTTTTTGGCCATGAAGCTGATGTTACATCGGTCAATGTAAGACCTTTCAACATGATTATTTAACGATACACAGTATCTAGTCTAAGTCTTGAGGACATTTTCGATATAACAGTAACATTTTAACAGCAAATAACGTTTCCTCTTTTTTTGTGGTATAACATTTTTGTTTTTCAACACTTCCATGACTGTTTAACGGGACAACATACGATCTTTGTTTTTCCTTTTAAATTAATGAATGGCTGGAATATAGTTTCATCGAAGCAATAATGTATTCAGCACTGGATCAGAGGATAAAACTTGCAGGCTTTTTGATATTCGCAGTGATCAGGAGATATCAGCTTATCGTTCTCCCAATTCTCGAAGTGGCTTCACTTCTTGTGTTTTATCTTTATCAGGACGAATTATGTTGGCAGGATCAGATGATACATCGATTCACATGTGGGATATCCTTAAATCAAAATATGCAGGTATGTTGAAAATTACGAAGAATCTCACTGGTAATGGAATCATCGCTAAAAGAGTTTATAATGGATATTGGAGACTCGCTAACACCTTTGTACAAAAATTTAAAACAAACATTTGTTTTTGTTGCTCATTTCAGGAAATCTAACAGGTCATGAATCTAGAGTATCAACAATATCTTTGACCCCAGATGGAATGGCATTGGCTTCTGGTTCATGGGACACATCCATAAAAGTCTGGGTTTGAAGATGACTTCTATTTCTTTCCACTTTAAAGATGAACCAGTTAATTAAATGCTTAGATTTTTGTTTGCCCTGATTGAATCGAGAGGCAGTTGTGACAATAATTGCTTCTCATTTAAACAATTTTGACTGGAAAGAAAATTATAAATCTCTTATCAAACTCCGTCCAATGGTAGCAAGATTTGTGTAATTGAATAAAATGCATGAACAAGTGGCCAACAAAAAATAAAATTTAGATTTGTTGCTTGAAAGTTAGTGCTATAAGAGCCAATCACTGTGAGAAAATGAATGAATGATGAATATCTTTTCCTCACAATCCTCATAGGCGTTCATGCCTTTGTGAAATGGTTTTTTTCCAATAAAAGATTATGACTTTTGGATAATCTGACGGTTTTTTCATCATGTAAAACATAAAAATGTAGTAAATGATCAACGATTGAGTAGAAAAGTTGAGAAGTTGAGAGTGTGAATCGAAGAAACGAGAGATAAGTAAAAAAGGAAGGGAATGGATTCTGTTAATTTAATCATGGTTGACCCAAATAGTTAAAATTATCCTTCACTTGGAGTTCATTGCAGACGAAAGGTCTCCACTTGCGTACTTTATGTTGGTATACTCTCTTCCAGCGATGAGACTTCGCTGTTTACATGAAATAAATAACAGAGAAATAACAAAATAGAAAATTAGAAATGAAGACTTTTTTATGAATTAAAAGAAATGTTTGCAGGATAAAACAAATGGAGATAAATATTAAAATGCATGCAAGAAATGATTTAGCTAATTAAGACAAATGAACAATGAATGGTTATAAAAGTGAAACGGGTGACTATTAAGCAAATCATAAGGCAAATCACGGGGATAAACTCAACATTGGACAATTTGAAATATTATGTGTTGGCAATTGGAACGGAAGACAAAAAATAGAGAACAAGAAAGGAAAGACAAAAAAAGTGAGCTTTCGGAATCATATGCTTGTTCCTTGTACCTGTTTGGCCAATAAACGCTGCTGTAAAGTTTCAATGTAATGTTCAACAGCCAAATAAACAAATTGATATTGAGCTTCAGTTTGCACCAGTCCAGATCTTTGTGATCGAACCATCTGAATTGTCCTTGGAATATCAATTTCACAATCCAAACCCTGTCTTTTGATTTGATCGATAATCATATCGATAACAATGAAAGTTCCTGTTCTTCCGATTCCAGCACTAAAATTTGATGAGAAAAAACAAAAGAGGTAAAAATCAATTCAAGGTTAATGTACAAAAATGGGTAAAAGGAATATAAATAAATGCTAATTTGAGCTTTAAACTTATCCAAGTCTCGATTTGCAAAGAAATTTAAAAGATCTTTAGATAGAGTTAACAAGGATAACAGCTTTTAGGTATCATCAAATTACTAATTAATTAGTACTGATTTAATATGATTAAGTGTTGAAGGTAAGTAGTTGTTAAAATTAATAGATAATTAGGTTTGAATAGGTTAGTCATAATTCAGAATTATGATGTTAAGAAGCAAAGCATTAAAACAAAGAGCATAACATCTCAATAATCATAAAAAGGTTTACAACTGTAATCAATTAATCCTTGATTACTGGCCTCGGGCAGATCTTTCAAATCAAGATTTGTATAATTTCTCAAAAGGCTAAAAATAATTCGAGCATTTGCATCGAGTGAAAATTCAAGCAACTGCGTAATTAAATTATTGACGATGAGTTTACTTTTGACTTTTTCAGTAAGCTGTCAAATAAGTTTAAGGTTACATGGTCAGGGTTGAACTAATTTACCTGCAATGCACAATTATTGGACCAGAGCCTTCGATTGATTCTTGTCTCACATTGACTTCATGGAGGAAATTGAGCACACACCCTGGATAAGTAGGTACACCATGATCAGGCCATGCAGTAAATTGATATTGGTAAACGATGCGAGTTTCAGGTTCGCCTTCTTTACTAACTTCTAATTCTCTTAAAATATAATCTTTTGGCGGTTTTTCAGATAAACATTTAACTTTAATTTTACCATAATCTTTACTTTGACCTTCGTGAGGCCAATAACGGGCACATTTATTCTGAAAAGATAAGAAAAGTAATGAAAAATGAGAGAAGAGAAAAATTTTTTACAGTAACAAGGCAAAGAGTGATAAATAAATTGGTTGTGTACTGGGAAAGAAAGCTTTAAAGTAAAATATGGAACTGGAAATAGCAAATATATTCGAGAAAAGTCAATGATCATAAATCATCAAGGAAAAGTGAAGTAAGATTGAAAAGAAACCGAAAACTCTACTGTACCATAAAAATGCAGGAAAATGCTGATACACAACTTTTTTACAGGGTTTCAAACTAAAGAGGTTGTTTATCTGATTAGAATATGCATATGCCCATAAGGAGTGAAGTTTCAAGTTGGAAAAACAAAATGATGAACAAATAAATGAAACACAAATTTACATTGCACAGTTTTAAAGAGAGATTTGTATCAATTTACCTTTGATCTTTCAACTTCTTTTGTGGTCATTACAATAACTCTCGAGCTTTCTTGCCACAACATTCGCCAAAAATCGTCTACTGAATTAGATAAAGGCCCTTGTGTTGCAATATAAGTCTTTGAAGGAGTTCCTGTGTTATCATCTTCGGGCTAAAAACAAGAAATAAAAATAATGAGCTAACTACAGAGAGCATAAATAGTTAATTTCAATACCTTGATGGTATTTGCGTTAATATAATCAGATCCAATTGAAGCATCTCCATCACGTAAAATAACACGAGTATAATCAACTTTAAAAAAGATATGTAAATTTATCGTATTAGATAATAGTGAATCAATGCGTGAGAAAAAATTCATTAATGTAATCGTTAGATAGATTTAGTTCGCAACTTACAAGGCAAAATATTTTTATAACGATTTTTAGCTCTATTCTCTGGTCTTTGGCCTTCTTTCCTAGAATAAAGATGTTTACACTCTTGTTGTTGAAGATACTGTAATAAGAAAAAAAATGTCAAAACAATTAAAGTTGAAAGAAAAATACATAAAGTAATTTAGATCATTGACTTACCTCAAATTCTTCCCAAAAACCTGCTTTCCCGTTATTTTGAGCATTTTCTTTAGAAAGCACTTTGACACGACTTTCGATGGTTGAAGCAGTTATTTTCGTTGCATTGAATGGTTGCTTTAAATGTACAACAGTTCCAGAAGTTTCAACCATTGGATTCTTTTTATAATATTCTATTAATTCAGATAAACTATCAAACTGTTCACCTCCACCAACGTCGTATTTATTATCTTGGAATCTAATAATAACATGAGTAACTTTGTCATCTGTTCTGACCGATAAAACATAATCACCAGGTTTGCTCATACTTTCTCTGACGAGAAAGCTTCCGTTTTTTCCTTTGTCAAGTAGAAGTTTTTCAGCTTCCTTGCCTGATAATGCACCATGAAACCATCTTTCACTAGTTGGATCTGATGAGTTGAGAGGATATTTGAGTTCAATATTTGAGCCATTTTTTTCTTTTAATTGCCCTTGATTTTCAATATAAAAAACTACCAATTCAGCCAATGTTGCAAATTTTTCACCTCCATATAAATCATAATAATCACCAGTGTTTTGAATCTTAATATGAGTGACTTGACCATTTCTTCTGTTGAAATTAAATGATTACACCAAACAGATAAATGTAAAGGTAAAATTAAAAACAAGGTCTAAATAAGGATGGAAGCTTAATCAAATCAACAGATGATAGCCAAAGTACCTGACAGATAAAGTGAAATCACCAGGATTTGATTTACTTGGACGTACCAAGAAGCTACCGTCCGATCCTCTCTCCATCAGCATCTTTTCAGCTTCAGGGCCGGTGATGTTTGGATGGAACCAACGCCCGATTCTCTTGTTACCAGAGACCGAAGATCTCCATAGATCAGTCTCTAAAGGTTGGAGATTAGGCTGGAAACTATGCACACTAATTAATTTTTCCATTGGCCACAAAAGTAAAAACAAAAGGTACCAAAATAAATGAAAAAGAGGAAACTCGACTCAACGATTACTGACTGAAGACTGCAAATTGACTGAAAAGTAAAGCTGGTTTTGTAACTAATGGTTACTACGACTCGCTTTTTTAGTGTTTGAATGTCAAGCTAGATGGCATTACTTCAAGACTGAAATCCATAAATGTCATCATTATTTTGAACTGGTTAAATTTTAGATCGTCATTTGATTGTTTACTAATATATTTACATCTATTTATTTATTGTGTTTATTGGTTTTAAGATGAATTCGGTCATTAACTTGTTTACCAAGAATGGTAAGTTGCTTTCCTTGGCTTCAACCAGCCATTTACCTTCGGTAAGAATAACCAGTACATCAAACAATCAGGCTGCCGCTGCTGCAGCTGCTGCTGCTACCTCTGAGGTACCTGAAAAGCGGATTAAAAAGTTCATGGTCTATCGATGGAATCCTGAAACACCTGAAGTTAAACCCTACATGCAGACATATGAGGTTGATCTAAATACATGCGGTCCTATGGTGCTTGATGCTTTGATTAAAATCAAAAATGAATTGGATCCTACTTTGACTTTCAGACGATCTTGCAGGGAAGGTATATGTGGTTCTTGTGCTATGAATATTGGAGGTGGTAATACTCTTGCCTGTATCAGCAGAATTGACACCAGTGTCGAAAAACCGATGAAGATCTATCCATTACCTCATATGTATGTGGTTAAGGACTTGGTTCCTGATATGAACCATTTCTACGAGCAATATCGATCGATTCAGCCTTGGCTACAAAAGAAAGATGAAACTGGTTTTGGTAAGAAACAAAATCTTCAAAGTGTTGATGATCGTAAGAAACTTGATGGTCTATATGAATGTATATTATGCGCTTGTTGTTCAACATCTTGTCCAAGCTATTGGTGGAATAGTGACCGATACTTGGGACCTGCTGTACTCATGCAAGCATACCGATGGGTAATTGATTCAAGAGATGAATCAACTGAAAAAAGGCTGGATCAATTGAGGGATCCCTTCTCACTTTATCGATGTCATACAATCATGAATTGTTCCAGGACCTGTCCTAAGAACTTGAATCCTGGTCGAGCAATCGGTGAACTGAAGAAGCTTCTCGCAGGCTGGTCTAAGAAGAGTGAGCCTCAGATATCTGGACAAGTCTAATTCTGCTGTAATAAAGCCCCCAAGTAACTGGTTCAACAATTTGACTTACCAATTGATATTCGCGTGTTTTAATGTCTTATCCGCTTGTTTGATTGTTTTTGATCTAAACGACCATCAATATGCATCAAATTATTATAATTCGATCAACTCAAATAAGTTTAGATGGATAATTTGACGCAATAAGTAGTAACAATTATTATTAATCTATGTCAGAGTTGTCTTGATCTACTCATCAAATAATCATTGCTTCAATATCAGACTGCGGCTAGACTTTCATTGAATGTCAATAGTCAACTTGTTGAGATTTACTTGAGTGCGAATTATCTTTAGATAAATAATGTTAACAAAGCATGTAATAAAATTAAATAAATTTTTATCTTTACTTTGAATAAAGCGTATTTATTGGGGGCTCAAAAAACGAGACTTTTGATGAGATAAATAAAAATACAATAAAAGTTGAACTTGATTTGTGAATTGGATTTTCAGGGTTAGTAAAGTTGTGAACTTTGGATTTGTTAGATAATTGTGTCATGATTTTGTCAATATACTATACATAAAGAGTATCTGATGAAATATTTGTATCTAATAATATTCAGATATATATTTAATAGATTCATATAATCTGTGATTCAAACGTGAGGTCCTTCGAGTTTTTTACACTCTCGATCAGACTTTCAGCTTCAAGGTTGGTCGTCAATAAAACTTGATTATTACAAATATCTTTAACTATACTTTCATTATTAACAATGGGAATTTGAAATAGATTAGATGCAATCCCTGCAGGAATTGATATTATCGAAGATGTTTCAGACGGTTTCGAGGTTAATGAGTATGACGCTGTTGAAGGAGTTGTAGAAGTTGAAACTGACATAGATGTTGATGTTGCTGTTGTGGTTGTTGTTGTTGATGATGATGATCCTGATGAAATTATATTGATTGTTGTTAAATTGGAGACTTTATTTGGATTACGACAACCACGACATTTACACTGATTACAAGCCTTACTTTCAACATAACAAGGACATCTTTGACCACAACAGGTTAATTTACCGGGATTTGGTGTAGCTAAGCCACATCGACAGCCTCTGCGTACTTTACGATTAACTGGCGAATGATTATTTGACGAGTTTATCAAAGATCCTGTTAATATTTTATTAAATTGTGTTTGGTCTGCTTTAATTATATTCCTATTGAATGTAATTGCTTGCGTTGGATTTGCTTTAAGTAATATACCAGTTTTAGTGTTTTCACCATTCATTGTTTCTCTCAGGGTAATAGATGGAACGATACTTCCAACAATGTTTATGCTATTACCAATATTTGTAATACTGTTAATTCTGCCGGTATTGTTCACATTACTGCTACTTTCGCTGATGGAATTTTTAACATTAGTATTACTTTTCGAATCGCCGTCATTGAGTGAATAAGTTTGTGGTGAAGATGAATTGATACTGTTTTGCGAGAGTTGTTGCGAGTTTAAATTGCTTTGATTACTATGATTATTATTTAACTGTTGATGTAAAGGATTTTGGAGATTATAGTTGTGATGATTGTTACCATAAGTCTGGCGACTGAAACTTCTTAATGGCGGAGGTTCTGAAAATGTATATTTATCATGAAAATTTGATCCTTCCTCCAAAAGCTGTCGAAATGTTGTTGGACCATTAAAATTATTTGGTAAAGATGAATAAGATGCTTGGTTTGTTTCGCAAACAAGATAACCCCAATTGTCAACCATTGATGAAGATAAAATAAACGAAGCTAACTGCTTGTAACATTGAAGAAGTATTCTAAGTTGAATATTTTCAATAAATTTTGAATGATCTTTACACCAAGAACATGATGGTTTTAATCTCATTTTACCACCAACACAAGATTTACAGACATGATGTTGACATGATGAAACAGTAGATGACATTGGTATATAAAGTAAATTACCACATACACAACAGGTCAATGATTGTCTTAGATAAGACATTAAACGATTAATATCATTCCAAGCACCACTATCATCAATGTCAGCTTGGAATAACATGCGAGTTGTTGTCACATACAAACTCAATGCGTTCATTGTGACAGGAAAATAGCAACAAAGTCAACTATTGGTAGAAAAAATAGATCAAGATCCTGAGTCGAATGAAATTTTTGAAATCACAATAACAAACCAAAGTATTGTTAGAATCAGCGTGACAGCGTATCCATGAGATAATTTCTTAAGTTATAACATTTCATGTAGTGTAGTTGGATTACCTTTTAACAGAAATTTCCTTGAAAGCACAATATACATAGATAAGAAAATAACAGGAAACAATGACTAGTTCACTATCACTAGAATAATGTAAACTTTTGGACAGACCGTTAACAATTTGTAACAAACATTTTAAATTATTACAAATTAAAATAAATCTGTCAAAATATTTGATTATTATTTACTTATTTTTTTTTTCTTTGTTTGAAAACAAATGCCTTGAATTATCAAAGCATTGTGCCTACCTTGAGAATGTGGTGTCATCTATCGATATAAAATTGAGTGAAAAAGTGAAAAATATTGTTCAAAAATGTTTGATATTGTAACATCTAACAATGATTCACTAATTTCCCCCCTGAGAAATTAATGAAAAGTATATCTAAAATCTAGAATATTGATCAAATCAAAAAACTAAAGCCTTGAAATAATTTTCGTGGACAATAAATCGACTATCATTTTCAATCAGTGAAGGCAATTCCATTTTGCAATCAAAGTGTAACAAAATTGCCTCAATCAGTTTCAACCAATAAGCAACAATTGACTTATTTTTTACATGAAAACATGAAATACAATTGGTTGCACATTGGAACATTTGTGATATCATGTAAACGGATTGACCTGTACCAGTTAAACTGTGACACCAATAATGATTAATGCGGTGAATGTCAACTCGGAGCCAGGTTGTATCTCATCGAAGCAATGGAAGTCATTAATCCATCAACATGCAAATCCACTTTTACCTGAATGACAAATGGGAAATTGAAACTACCAAATTGATCCTTTTCTTTGTAAAACTCATCTCTTTTAGGTATAAAAATTTCCATGAGAGAAATCCATGTTTCTGGTACAACCTCAAATTATTCATGGAGTGTTGTCCACTATGAGACTTTTGTTGGGTGGCACAATCGAGAGCGTTTAATTTACCAGAATGGCCAGTAAAAAAAGTTGTTGATGAAGGAAACGTCGAGAGGGAGTGAAAAAAGGTTAACAGCTATTAAATTGTCCTGAAGATGATTATTTACAGATGATAAGTGTGAAGGTATTAACAAGAAAATGAAGGATAAGAATCGGTTATTAATTGAAGGTAAAGTGAACAAAAAAAAATGAAAACAAACCACAGTAATGATCAAACAAAACAATGAGAATAAGCAAAAAAAATGAAAGAACAGAAAAAAATATTGGACAATTCAAAATTGCGTTTCTCTCATTGGTTTCTTCATTATCTTATCTTCTCAGCTCTCTTCTTTACATTTTCAACTTTTGACAGTTGAGACTTTTTTGCTTAAAACATTTTCTTAACAGATTTTTCTTCTTTCCCCTCTTTAGCCAATTCGCTCTCTCTCTCCCTTTCTATCTTCTCTCTCTTCTCTTTCTTTGTTTTTGTCTTCAAGAAGAAGAAGACAAATTTCTACCTTCTCTTCTTATCTCTTTGCTCTCCCTCCTTCTTAACTCACTTTTACTTTTCAACTAAAAACTCACCAAATGTTCAACTCTTAGCTTATTCTTAAAATTGGTTCAGTTCAACAAGTTTTGTAGTAACTTTTAATTTTTGCTTGTTGGTTAAAAATTGTTTCATTTCAATTTGTGATCACTGGTTTTTGTCTCTGGTTAACTTCATTAATTAATTTGTCTAAACAATAACTTACATATAACAAAATGCGTGTGATAATCGTGTTAGTCTTTTTGTCTCTTATTGTCTCTACCCTGGCTGATGGTCAGAGGAACAGTAGAGGCCGTGCTCGTGGAAGAGGTCGAAAACAAAAGGGTAACTGCCATTTAAAAGAAATTGATACTTGTATTGGTAAACTGGATAAATATTCAAACCGAAATTCATCCAATTTATTGACTTCATCTCGTGGACTTGATGAAATTTGCACGTAAGTTTGTTCTTTTTTTCAAATTTGTCATTTGAGATTCCAATGTTTTAGACCAATGTCTAAACAATATCTCATACCTTTCGATTATTTCTGATCAATTGTTGGTTATTGTTTGGTTGATTAGTAACTCTCTTGATGTCGTCAATTGTGTCCGCAACTACATGACTAAATGTGGAACTCCACTTCAACGTGAACTTTTTGAGTTTGGTATTGAACAATTCTCTAAATCTATTGACCAATTTTGCAAACCAGGACCACTTCGTGAAGGTAAGTACTAGTTTTGAAGTGCATCTTCTCAATCAAAATTTCAACCATTCTGATGCTTAAATTTTTATTCTCTCAACAGAATTCTTATCCAACTCACCTTGCATTGTTAACAAAGTGATATCGAAAAATAATTACAGAGAAAAGTGTGTCAACAACTTCCTCTCAACCATAGACAAAACCAACAAGCAAAAAGAGTTGGATGATAGACTGGACACTATTTGTTGTTCCTACAATCGTTGGGAGGGATGTGCCTTCAGGTAATACTTTTACTTTTTATCTTCTCTTCCCAAATAGAGTTTTCTTGATCATGCTGGTGTTAAGCTAGCAAAGAGCTTACCTGTACTGGTACTTGAAAAAGATTTAACTTAAATTTAAAATAACCCAAAAATATCCCAATAACCTACCTTTACGCTTCCTAATCCGGTTATTTTCAGATTTGCTTTCAAATCTGGAGATAACTTAGTGATTGGTTATGCTTTTTAAATATTCTCAAATTGATTATATACGTTTTAGCAAACATAATTAACTCGAGAATTATCAACCTGTGCAAACTCGATGACTAAATAACATTTTAACTTTCTCTTTTCAATAGCTTGATCAAGAAAGAGTGTGGAGAACAGGGTAAAACATCAATGCACAATTTCATTGACAAAGCATTCGGAGGTAAGTTTCATCTTTTTCATCAAACTCTTACATCAAAAGTATAATCAGTATCTTTTATCTGAAATTAATCAGGTCAAAGGCTGTTTATTTATACACTTGATAAATATTACTTTTTTAATTTAATTTCAACACCCTTTTCTAATCTTTTGATTTCCTCTTTCCATTCAGGTTTAACCAATATGATTTGTTCATCTACTGCTTTTGATCCATCATCTCAAAGATGTACCTCATTATATGCTGCACCAGGCGTTAAACCAAAGGGAAAATTAAGTGATAATCCAGTTACTAAATACATTGCTTCGTACTTTGGATTCCTTTTCACTTAAATAATTCACAACTGACCAAATCCCACCTAAAATTCACTTTTTAAATATTTTTTAAATACTTTAACACCCTTCCTATATTAAGGGCACCTTCCTTCAAAGTGACTAAATGACCCTTTCATTGTTCAGTAAAACTCTTTTTTTTTACAAAGTGCATTTTTTAAATCACAAAAAATACAAATCTCGACTCGAGTCGAAATAAACAACTAATTTTTAGTTGCAAATCCAAAATTTAACTTGTTCTAATTTATTAATCCATCTGATCATTTCCAAGGTATCTAAAATAATTGACTCGGAAGTTGGATTAAAATATTGAATCTTCCTGGTCACTTAATCTTTGAATGGCTGTTCTTGTTCAATCCGAAGGGTGTGTTTTAAGGAAGAGACCAATTGATTGGCAGACAATATAAAGGTGAACCTCAATTGAAGATTAAACTATTGATTAAGTGATGCTGGTAAATGAACAAAGGTATAAATTGTTTGAAAGATCAATTGAATGACCAGTTTGACGTGTTGAATAATCGAAAAAGTCCTTTAAATCGAAGTCATTCAATAACTTGAAGGGAAAACCAAAAGATTGAAGATTTGGTTGGTTCAAGAAAATAGAGATTCAGAATGAATGTAAATTGATAAACAACTAATTAGTGCTTTGATTCGTGATCAAATTGATTTGACTTGTTTCCTATTCAAATCATTTCTTTACCGTTCAACCTAAATTTACCTTCTTAATAGCCAAGTAGTGATTATATTTCAACATTATTGTCAACAGAAAACCTTCAAATTTTTCGACAGTAGTTGACATTTTCCTCTCTCTTTCTCTATCCTTATCAATGTACAGCCAATCACAATTAACTTGACATTTTTAAAAACATTTTACCTTAACTTTTGATAAAAATCAATGAAATTACAGGTTTTACGACAAGTAAACGAAACCCAAACAGCAACAGCTGAACATGTAAATAGCCAAATGCAATCTCAAACCTTGTCAATTTCAGAGCATTTACATTGACTTTCCAATAGCTTTCCAGTTTTTAGTTGATAAATAGTCAGACAAATTGTTCATTTTATTGCTGAAACTGAATTCAACATTTTTCATTACTAAAGTTCATTGAAATCTCGTTTCATTAAAATGTTTATGGCCATAAAGCTTTATTCAGTCAACACAATAAGACTATTGATTTAAGATTATCATTAATGTAAGTTTATGGGTTAATTTTGAAAAAAATTGACTTAACGAGCAACAAAAAGATTGTAGTTGATGAACAGTTAATTACAATGGAAAGCTTATTAACCGTTGAAAATGAAATCCTTCAATCATTCAAGGGTAATTCACAGTTGACAATTGGTAATTTGCTGTTTTAATACTTAACTTTTTTCTTGCATTGCTAATAAACAATTAACACTTATTTTTAAGCTTTACCTTTTCACCTGAAATCAATCTGAAATTGAAACACAAATTTGATTACAGGAAATTATCGCTTCATTGACTAATACAACTTTCAAGTTGAAAATGTTTTTTTCCAGTAAACTGTTGAGTTGTGGTTTTGTCAATTGAATTAGCTAATTCATATTTTACTGGTGAAATGCGCTAACTGTTAGCGATTAACTATTGATACTTTGGTTTGAAAATTTTGTCTCAACAAAAGCAATCCATTCAATTTAAAGGTTTACCGAGTTGAACAAAAAAGTGTAATAGCAACCGTTAAATACATAACGATCTGTATTGAAATTGGTCAAATTTTGGGACTTTTTTCGTTGACAATTAAGACAATTATTTGTTTTCTTTCCTCAAATGTCGTTAACAAATTGACACTCGATTATTGTCATGAAAACAGTTCAATAACGCGACAAACCCAAATCTGTTTCTAATTGGAAAAATTTACATCTAAATCTTAAGTTCAAGACTTTTCTCGGAATCAATCAATTTATCAATTCAACTCAAGACTCTATTAGACTCGGTTTGAATTTCATCTTTAATCGTTGATTTGATCTACTAATTAACATTTGGTTTGTCACTTTGACCTTATCATGAAAACTTTCCATTATAATGTCTGTATTTCGACTCTTCCAATTAACCTGAACAATTGGAAACAATAAGATTTTGATTAATATATTGTCTAGCTGATATTATTTGCAGCAAAAAATGAAGTACACTTAGCAAGGAATCGATTTTGATTTGATTTTTTCGCTGCTAAATTGTTGTAAACTCAGCTGTTTGATTTAATCTCTATTAAAATGATTAAAAGAGACAAAGTTCACAATTAAAAAGCAACTGTAAATGAAAATTACTTCAGTTGTTACCAATTAAGCAACAAGTTACCATTCAAGCTTCATTAACTCAAACTTAATTGCAAACAAACACTAAAAAACAAATGATTTGTATACAAGAAGGGAAATTTGGTGAGTTTGTTACCAAAAATTATGATTATACTTTTGAACGACGTAAATAAAGAGTTATTAATGATGTTGAATGTTGATTTGAAATAAAAGTTAATCTTGATGATTCTCTAATTTTAGTCTGAAATGAATTTGAATTGCGTTGAACGAAAGTGATAGAAAGCTGATTTAATAAAGTGAATCGATAGTGACACCTATCAATTGACATTTGAAATGAAACAAAATAGCTGACTTTAATGCGCTCATGTTTGTGAGTTCAAAGCCACTGATTGAGAATCGAGTCAAATTCTGGTGCTTTTCCAGACCATAAATGGGAAATTATTATCAGCACAATATTTCAAAGGCATATGCTATTCAACCAACATTAAAATCTCGCAAATGGTGAATCGGGGAGGTTTGCTCAAAACAATTTTGCTCTTGAAAAAGAAGGTTATTTTAAGGTAAGCAAAATATTTTTGAATTGAAATCAAATTGTGATATAAATAATTAAAAGGCAATGAAAATAATTTTCTGTGGGGAATTAGATCAAATCATAAGATAGGCGCCATTGACATGTTGATTGTTATGAATGATACTATATATGAATTGCATAAATTATATATCTTTGTCAATATGACCAGAATTTTATCTAAAGATATGAAGTTATTCAATTTATTTTATTATTTAGCATAATTTCTTCAGTTTATCTTATTCTTCCACACTTACAGTATGTTTGTATTGAATAATTGTTGACAAAACTATGAATTTTACTGTTTTTGACAAATCGTTTCATATCCTTGGCTGGATTGCAAACATAAAAGTCCTTTTTCGCATGGACAAAAAATTGCATAAATATTGGTTGTTGATGTAAAATTGCTGAAACAACGCTCGCCTTCTCTGCTAATCGGCAGGCATATTCCTATAGCCATTCCTATTGAGATGGAAGATAATCATGGATCATTGATAATATCTAGTTTGTTATTAATAGTTTGTGACATTTCGTATACTGGTCTCTGTCGCAGAAACATCTTGATCAATTCAATGATCTCAAAAAATTGGTAATTCGTGAAAGGTTTAATTTACAAAATGGGGGAAAATTAAATTACTTGAATTGTCCGATACACAGCAATAGCCTGGTTCACATTCTCGTGTCGTTGTACACAACAAATCTGCATCGTTTTCCTGGCAATAAAGGCATAAAATTAAAATGTGATATCATTAGATGTTTATTCTACGCCAGATTCGCGGTTAAACTTACAAAAAATATCGAACTTAGAACAAAAAAGAACACTAAAAAATGATTCATATCTAGCACAATTGAAATTTAACTGCTCCACTGTATACCTTTATTACTTAGAGGTTTAGTGTAAAATTACAATTCTTTCGTCTTTTATACATGTGTTTTATTTACTTATCTTTTATTTTTAGGGACTTCACATCTGCAGCATCAATTTGCATTCATTAAATTTTATAGTCAATAAACCTTGTGTTAAATAAGTCTCACAAAAACAAGATTGAAATGGAATATTTTGAATAAAATTCAATTATGCAAATTTGCAACAAAAATAGATATGATAACTGCGTTAGTTAACACTTGTTTTTGGGTTTTCAATTTAATGCATATAAATCGACCAAATTTTTCTGTTTGACTAGAAAACAAAAGTAAAATAACATCAAAAAAGTCACCTGAATGAATGTCAATAAATTGAAGTTTTCTTCAGCAAAAACAGAATTTCGATCTGTTTTGGTCTTCTTTACTGATTGAATCAATTTATAAATTTTTTCAGCTCTGATCAATCTACATCTTTCTGGTTTTATGATTTGACAATTTATTCATATTGTCTAAATGTCAAACAAAGTATTACAGTATTTTCAAATTATTAATATCGTATCGAGTACTGTATTTTTATTACTAAAATATTGGTATCAATTTTGAAAATTTCAAGTTAAATGTAGGTGAAAATCATCAAAAAATCATAAACACAATCTGGTAAATTTTTGTTTATAATTCAATTTCTGTGTTTAATTACTAAATTTTGAAAAACAATTTTACTTTGATTTGTGATCAATAGATGTCATAACGTGTACTTAGATTAAACTTGCAATACAAAAGCAGTTGAGACAATTAAAAACAATTGTTATTGATAGTTTAAATGGTAAAAAATGTCGGTAATATTTGTTGCAAATTAAGCACTGAAATTTCATGGAAATTTCTCTTGTTGAACCTTTTCCATTCTAGATTCTTGTACATTTTCCTCCCCTCTTCATTCACGATTTCTTGCTAAAATTGCGATTCTGATTCCGATCCAATGATTGATATTTATCATGACTTTGCACAACAATTGCAGATTGAATGTTAAAATGCTGGTCATTAGGTCTAAATTTAATAATAAATTCATAATGTAAGGTGAGTGTGAGTAAAAAGATGTTCATTGAAAAGCTAATGACTCTTTTGTCTTTCAGGTTTCCAAATCTGTAACTCACGCATTGACCATCAAATTAAATCAGCTGTGCTATTGACAAGTGAAAAAACGATTAACAATGAGCAAATTACAACAAATACAAATTTATGCAAATGATTGACACAAGATTATTTCCAGTTTTTCATATACTTGTGAATGTTAATCACCTTAAGGCGGGAATGAACAACAAAAAGGAGCAAGTAATAACTATCATCCATCTTTGACTCCATCTTTCATCACAACAATCTTTTTCTTACTTTTCTTCTCTTTCTTTACCTTTTTTTACCTGCTTACATGCTAACCCAACTACTGTTATTACCTTGCACGTCTTTATCATCATCATCAATAACATCAATATAATCCCGTTAACTTGTTATTCAACTCAACCTATTGGTGTAGTGATCAAGTTCCGAGAGAAAAAAAGAGAAGCATCAACATTTTACCTTTTAAACACAATTTTAATAATCAACTTCATGGACCAGCCTAATTTACCTGTCGGGTTAAACTGAATCAAGAAGATCCAGTTTTCTAGCTTCTCGTAGCCAATCATTTCCGTCTTCATCTCCATCCTTGTCCTTTTGGATATACTCTTGTTACATTAACCATCATCTGTGCCGAGTCTCTTAATTTCTGTGCAAAACTCAACAAATCACAGGATTAACTCTGTTGATTAACTCGGATGATTTAAGTGATTTAACATTGAATTCAGTGCTAACATTGATGGAAAAGTCAACATCAGCTGTATTTTTCAATTCAAACAAAACATTGTAAACCTATGGAATCAATCTCAACCAATCTCAGTGTTTTCTGATATAAATCGGACTCTTCAACTGCCATGCCAATCAATTGTATTTTACCGCTTCTAGTTAAACACACAAATTGCTGAAAATAAATTCACCATTTAAAGTCGAAATATATCCAAATAACTGATAATGGATAACTTTCAGATGGATTATGCCAGTGATTACGGTAAGTGAATATTGTTTTTAACTAATCATGTTTCTTATTAAAGCTGCCATGGACTTAGATTGTGTGTCTTCTGCAAATTTCATCTGCTATTCATCCAGAATTTATCCAAAGACTCTGAGCAAAAAAAGAGAAAATTTATTTGTCCTAAAACCTGAAAATTTGTGCCTTTTTTCATATCAAATCAACAAATTTGCCGTCAATTTCTTATTGATTGTTCAGCTTGCTATCGGTTTACATTTTACATCAACATTTCACATTAAACCTAAAGTCAATAAACTGATGATGGAAACGAGTTTAGCTGAAAATTGATAATTATTGTTAATATTCATTTGAATATCTGTGCTGTGATTAATTCCCTGCAGTGATAATTGTTATTATTATTATTGTTAAAGGTAGTGAAATAACATTACTAACTTACAACTGGTTATCCAGTAAGCGTCAACATCTTGTTTGTTCAATGGGTTAATAATGATGATCAACTTGAATCTGGTTTAACAGGAAATTATATTTGACCGATCAACTTCAAATTACAATTTTGTTTTACTTAACCAATCCTAATCAAGCTTGATAATTCAACTCATTTTCAAAGTTCAATCTCAACCATGTACCTGTCTCTCTAATAGTCATTTTACCTTCAACAATCTTTAGTAAAATGAGAAGACAAATTGACCAGATTACAATCATTACCAGCCATTTTAATTAACGAAAATTAAACGAAAATCTATTAATGAAAAGCCAATCTTCACCATCTTAACCGATAGCTGACAATTTGTAGACCTAAATGATAACACAATTATTGTCAAAATTATGGACTAAATTGTAAGCCAATCAACTGTAAATAACGCTTCAAAGATGGTTAACTTAATGCTCATCAGTTTTCATGTTCATCTTGATTCCTCATTTTGATAATTTAATTTGTCGTTTAGTAACAACTTGATCTAATTCATCATCTTAATCAACCTGACAATTAGTCCCTAAAAAAGCATCTTGATTAGTTTATTTTCGTTGAAATTGCTCCTTCCTATTGTTTAAAATTTCAACAATACAATATCATTAATTTAGATAGCAATGGATATCAATAGCAATGAGAAAATTGTTACATTTTAAGCTTTTCTTTCTTTTGTTTACCAACATTTCAGCTCATGATCGGAAGGAAGAATAGCTCTATCGAGTGGAACTTTTATTATCTAAAAATCTATATAATTTAACACAAATAATTACAATTAATAGAGTGATTCAAATTAATGCTTCCAATAATTTTAATTTTAGGTTAAAAACTGGTTGCTAATTTGGAGCCATCTTTGGGAGATTTTATTCACTAATAGATCATGTGTTGCGATTTTACCGGTTAAAGATTAACCTTTGCAACTGTTGAGTTCACTATCTTTTAATTATTCAATTGTCAATTAAAGTATTTTAGTGTTTCTCCTCAATTGTATCAACTACAATTAAACCAATGGATTTTTAAATTATACTTAATTTTGTCTGATTTCTTCCTAAATTTAGATGTGATAAATTAAAAGGTAATTACCATCAAATATTCTGGTTTAATGAAGTGTTTCTCTCCGACAGACTTGCAATTGTTAGTGTAAATTGTTGTGACTATTAAGCCTTTGATTTTGTGTTTCTCTCTTAATTGTGGAGACTTTAATAGAGGTTTTAATGATTAAAATTAGGCTGGAATCTTTGAAAGAAAAAGTACTTTTCAATCATTAAATTGAAATTTTAGTCAAGTCAACGTCTCCTAACTTTTGGGTTGCATGTTATTGTATGGAAAAAAGACAACGGAAAAGGTCAAATTTGGAGAAAGTTAATTAAAGACAAGTCCAATTTCATGTGGTTAATGACAATGCTGAATCTATTTTAGAGCATTCATAATTTTCTGATTGCTTCTGTTTAATTTTCATCTCTTATTGTAACTCCTCATTAACATCATCACCATCAACAGCGTCAACAGCGTCAACATCATCATGTTTCTCCTTCCTTTCGTAAACCCTGAAAATCCTGATTATTTTTGAATACAAGTGAAAATGACCTTATTTTCATTTATTGTTCCCGTTTCACCATCATTTTCATCCTCATCTTCATCTTTTAAAACTTTAATCATTGCCTGTAAACAGTGTGTCTCAAGATACACATATTAATAGATTGTCATTCTAGATTACCTTACAGTAAATGAAGAAAGTAACCTTAAAGCCAAGAAAATGACACTTTTCCGTTTAAAATTGTGATTACAAGTCTTTATTATGATCAAGGTTCAATTTTCAACACATTTTTAACCAGCAAATTGTTGTAAACCATTAAACAATATGAGACTTTATATTGTCCAACAAAATCAACAATTTAGTCAATCAAATGTGACTAAACAAAGTGACCCAAACATTTAACCCAAACAAATTGAGCCCATCATTGAGCCCATTTGACCATCATTAAATTTACATTAATCTATCAGTTTTACTTGACCAGTAGAGTCTAAAAATGGCCAAATAAACTACAAATAAGAAGCAACCATTAAATTGAAACAATAAACAAGGAAAAATTTGAATCTAATTTTATCCTTTCAATTCCAATTGTCTATTGGTGTAAAACATTGTCTTTTACCATTCAAATTGGATACTTGAACTCTAATGATGATAAAGTGGAAATATATTGCAGCTTAATTAATGATAATTACTTTAAATTGTCTCAAAATGTGCCAAACTAAAATTGAAACCAACAGTGATTAAATTGAAATCAAGTTGTCTGGTTGCATCAATCCTAACCAAAAACAGTGAAAGTCAAGAATAATCTGATCCGATTATGGAAATAATGAAAGTCCATAATTATCATAATTACCATTAAATTGACACTAATCAAGCGAGTTGAACAATTGAGGATCAAAAAAGGTGATCAAAAAAATGGTTAAACAAATCAAAAAGCAACAAAAAAAGGGTTCAACATATTCATGGTTAACCTGGAAACGGCAAATGTTTATCATTTGGAAATGTTAAAAATATCATTGAATAGATAAATTTTCACTTGAAGTTGTATCACAATCAACAACTAATTGATAGTGTCTTTAACTGTTAACCAACAATTTGATTGTAATGCGAGAAGAAGAAATATAAATATGTATTGAGAAGAACGAAATTAATTTTTTCAAGACTTTAGGCTATTGCGTTTATTATTAACCATTAAGCTTAAAATACGAATGAAAGGCAAGGTTAAGGCCATTTGAATAAAGGGTCAGTTTTTATAAGAAATGGCGAAAGTTCATCGGCACAGATAATCTGAACTTTCAGTAGCATTTCAAGTTATCCTCATTTTTAATCCTCTCAACTTTCCTCTTTATCATCATCATCATGGTTATCATCAGATTCACCATTAAAATCATTATCAAAATCATTAACATCTTCTTTTCACCAATCAAGTCAATCGTTGATTGTTAATTGAATTGTTTTCCAATCGACATTTGTTTTCTTCAATTGACAATAATAATGAAGATTCTCCTCTTAATTCACTAATCGCCAAGTTTCCTGTTAAATGTTATTAATTATGTTCCAGTTGAAATATTTGATTAACTTAATTATTGGCTAGTGATTTGCTCAACTCAATTGTGACCTCAATTTAATCAATTAATGTGAATACATTATTTACTTCAATTGATCCAGTTGATTAGCAGATTTTTCAGTTTACTTATTTTACTATTTCAAAGTACATTCTTAATTGTCTAATTGTGTTTAATCTAATTAGAGTAAAATTATGGGAAAATATTAAAACAATGTCAACCATTAACATTAAAAGGTTTACAGAGCTAAACGTTTAAAGCAAGTTGAAACAATTGGAGTTGCTTTTTAGATTACAATTCATATTTATGATGAAAAGTGATTGGAGTTGATTGAAAATTTTACAAAATTTAAATATTATTTTGGTGATGAAAGGAGAAAGAGAGAAAGAGAGAGAAAGTGGTTAAATTTATATGAAATGAGTTAATCAATGAATGATGATCAACATTTATCGCAGTGAGATTAGCCTCATGTGAAGTAAAATAACTGTTTACCCAATTTATGATTTGTTTCATTCAATCTTAATTCACAGTTGATCATCTTTTTGATGATCAGTAAGAGTAAATATTTCTTTCCTTTCTTTCTCATCATCTTTCTTTTCTCCTTCTTTCTAATGCCGTGACACAATATCGCCAAAAGAGAGGTTAACGTTTAAAAGTAGGTCTTCAAGATGAGTCCATGATGATGAGGATGGAGGGGATGAATAACGATGGAGAGAGAGAGGCTAAATGGACTTTAGAAGGAAGAGTCAAAGATGATGAAGATGAGGCTGAGAAAGAGCGAGAGAGAGTTGAATGATGATTCTATTTTAAGTTAACCCAAAGTCAATATGAAGGTAACATCCTTCTAGATTTAATATCACTCTGTCCGTCAGTTTAAAGTAACTTATCGTTCAAACCAAATCAAACGTTAAACGGACCAGACTCTTCAAGTTTCTCATTTGGCTTATTGTGTGTTCAATGGTCACTATTTGGATTTAAACTTTTACTTCATGTGCTTTTTTAATTAAACACTTTTCATCATCGATTGGTTCTTTCTCTCGATCGACCTTTTTTAGTTGTTTCTTTCTTGTCCATCGAATGTAGGATTCCGTTTGGTTTTTTTAATCCAATTGTCCACTTGTCATTGTTTGCCATATGTACACTTGTTCATTATTAAAATGCGTGTGTGTCTTTGTTTAATTGTCTTCAATTTTGAATAATAAATTGTGGATTGAATTGAAAAAAAATCCAACAATCAAACGTCCATTGTGCGGCTGATAAGGATTAAATATTGAGTTGTCGTCTTGATATTAATTTTCCTTCATTTGTTTCCTTTTGCTACTGTTTGCTTTACCATTGAAAATTTAATTTTCAAATCAACCAAATATCAACTGCTATGCCTCGACCATCAAATTTAATTGCAGAGGGAAGCTGTGGTCGAAGTCACCATCATGGACATCATTCACACATGCGATCCCATCATCACCACCGTGGTCGATCACCATCTTCAGCTGGAAGATCAACACCAGGATCAGATGCATCCAATGAACAAGCCAAAACACGAATGAGATGGATACTTTCATTAGGTCTTTTATTGCCAGCACTTGCAGCCATCATAGGTAAATATTAATCGTTCAATCATCATTACCGATCCAAGTTTCATTGGTACCATCTGAAAGAGAAAAAGAATGAAAGAATTAGTTTTGTGAAATTAATCCTTTTTTCACTTCTTATTAGAGTCAAGACAACAATTGATAGTAAAGTACGTTTAATGGCCTCTTTAATAGTTACAGTTGTATGTTAACAAAATTTAATAAGCTACACTATTTAGCTAACATGAAAATGTTACCAATAATTGTTAAATCAACGATCATAACAATAATAATAACGATTATAAAACAAGTGTCTTTTTTTAGGTATTGCAGTTTAAATGGGTTATGCAAGATTTTGTTAGGTTAAAACTGGAAAATTAGCCGATAATTAGGTTTATTGGTTAATCATTTGATAATCAAATCATTTGAAAACAAAAAGACACATTCAATGAAAATGACGACGTTGGATTAGCGGAAATTGACGATCGATTTTCTCTGTTATGGTGATTTAGATTTGATTATAAGTGGTCAATTTTATGAATTTGGATTGCTAATTCAAAATGATTGGAAATGTTTTGATTTTTTTTGTTACTGTATCAGATTGAGAAAGGTTTTGACCTTAATTGTGTCACTAAATTTCCTGTCGCTTATATGATTGAGATAAATAAAAAGGATGAGGGAAAAAAGTGAAGGAGGTTAACAAGGGTGAGAGATGATGAAGAAGTCATCATTTAGTCTACATCATTATCATCACCATCATCTTTCAGGGAAAAGTGTGCATTTATTGTGATTGTAAACACTTCGCTTTGCTGATTGTTATTGCGTTGAATAGTTGCTTTCTTATTTTCTCACCACTTTTTGCCTACCTTAATAACAATTATATAACAAAAAAAAAAGATCAAAAATACTTGTCAATATAAAGCAAAAATGATGATGATTTGAGGTAAATACAGACGAAAAAGAGAGTGAAAATTGCAAGTGAAGTAATCGCAAACTGAAGAATGTGAATTTTAACCAGAATAGAGTGACAGTCAAATATATTTACAATTGAGTGATACAACAATTTTATACATTAAATTGTCACCAGTTGATGAAACGAAAACTCATTGGTACAGGCAATTTTGATGAGTAAAGAATGGAATGAAGAAATGAGAAATCAGTAGCCTTTTAAGCTGTTAAAGGTTATTAAATTATTTAAGTACTTAAAGGACAATTAGTAGTGTTTAAGATGAAGATGAAAAGGCAATTCAAGAGACCAACTAATTGAAACTATAAGCAAATAAACACGCAAAAAGATAAACTTGATCTAATTACAATGAAACAAAACGAAAAGACATTAAATCTTACCTCGAATTAACCTTTTCCCTATTTTAATCACTAGGAGTTGTTGCTTGGGCAGTAAGTGCTGAAGTGGTAATGGGAGCAAGAAGGGAATCTGCATTCAAATTATCTGGTCCAGCATCACGATTCCATTCGGTAAGATTAACTAATTAATTTTAATTCAAAGCTAATGAACTTGTCACTAAAAACCAAAGGGATTTCATAATTAAAAATGATTGGTTTAAAATCTGGTTGTCATTGGTTATAGCCGTTAATCTTAGTCCTAGTAACATCTTAATTAACTAGATGTCAGCATACTAAAAGATTCATTTAATGTTTACAATTGGTTTTAATTTTGTTAATTTAAAGTGAAACTGATTACTGATTCAATAGTTCAAAGAAAGTAAATCAAATTAACCCAGCTCAGTTTCAGGTTTTCATGAAACATGAATTTCATTGAAAGTAAGTAGAAATGAGTTTAACGTTTGGTGAATCAAAATGAAATACAATCAATGTAACCAATTTTTAGTTTATTAAAATGTTATTATTATTATAACATGATCTTGATGATAAACAAGTGAAAGAATGGTGAAAAAGTGTAATATTAATAGTAAAATTGACTTTAGTTGAACCTGTTAGTGAACTTGAAATAGAAATTTTTTGCCCCTTTTCAGGTCAAGTTTAGACGTTTTCATTGCTCATTTCATTTCATTATAAATATAAATACTCATCCATCTACATGTTATTTATTTATATATATATTTATAAGCATATAATAATAATAATGATAAATACTGGTTTAACGGTTACCCTGAAGCTTTCATTTCTGTTGCAAGGTTGATATTTTTTTTCCGTTCCCAATATTATTGGGTTAGGGGTGAGTTCAGCTAAGCCGGCTATTGACGTATTATCATTCAAAAATCACTCTCATCATGATCACCAATATCTGTAAGAAAGAAACCAGAAGATGAAAAAGAAGAAGAAGAAAAAAGCCAAACTTGCTTGGTCAAGCAACATTTACTTTTTTTGGTCAATCTTACTTTCTGCTGTTTCACCCTTTCATCCTGAGAGGGTAAAATTAGCCTCATGATAAGTCAAGATAATAAATGATTAGCACATTTGAATTTTAATAATAAACCCAAGAAAGTATTACATTTACCCATTCAAATCACCTTTTACTTGAAAGTGACATTTTCCCAAAAATGACTAACATCTTAAGGTTAAATCTTGAACAATTCATTGGGAAATTGAAAAAACAGAATCTCAATTCAAGACAATTTCACCCTTTATGGCTACTCTTCAAAACAGCTCAACAATTTAATGACTGGTTGAAATTGAGTTGAAATATGAAATAGAATCAATATTTAAATTTTGAAATGAAATGATGTCTTCATTTTTCCAATCTTTTAATATCATTAATGCAATTATTGTATTTATGTTAATCTATTGAGGTCACAATCAAGTATAATTTTCACCCTTAACCATCATTTAATTGTAAAGTAACATTAATAACCAAATTAAACCCAAATTAAACCTTCAACTTTGATCTAAATTGATTGACATTAAGTTTCTAATGACAATATTTTAATCCTTTAGAATGGACTTCGTAGTGAAGATGAATTTGGAATCGATCGGTTAGACCTTAAACCTGGTGATGCTAAAAGTCGCCTCTTATCTTCACCTTCATCTTCATCATCCTCTTCCCTATCTACACCTTCTTCATCCTCATCAATATCAACCGCTCATCGCAACGGAATGAGCAAAGAGTCCAGAATAGCTGAATCTAAACTAGACGATATGAACCAACCAAGTCACATCAAGTCATCTTTTTCATCAACCTCAGCAAAAGATAACTCAGACAATCGTAATGCCAATGTTTACTTTCTTGCCGGTAAGTTGATTGCCATTTCAATTTCAACGCAATTCATATTTTCCATCGTTTACGTTTCGCTTTCATGATAGTTGGTGAATCTTTTTTTTCTACCAATTCTTATTCATCATCTTTTCAGTCTTATGTTGATTGGATCATTGATTAGTTTAAAGGTGAAAGCTGATTGTTATAATGGTTTTTACTTCGCTCTGCTTAGTTTACTTTTTTTCTCATATCGAAGATTCTTCTTTATTTTATAATACCTTTTCTCTTTCAATTCACTCGCTCACCTTGTTACATTAATTCAGTTATAAATACACATATTGTTCACCAATTGTACAACCTTTTCGTTTACCGTCAAAATGAACAATTAAGAGCGTTTTTTCTCACACATAACTTTGAATGGCAAGAAATAAAAAAGCAAAACACTGCTTAAGAGCCATCAAATTTAATTTCAATTGATTGGAAATAATAAAGATGAAAAATGAAAGTAGACTTAATCATCAATATAATGACTTTCGTTGCAACATTAGGATGACATTCAATTTAACCTTTTTTCATGGTTTCATCTGTTGCTTGAAGCAATCCAAATTGAGATCAATTTCAGCTGTTTATGAAAATGGTTCAACATTATTGGGTTTTTATAATCATTTTATACTTTAAATATAGTTATTGGAATGTAATTAATCAGTTTTATTTCCAAGTCTTCTGTATTTTTTATTTGAAGAGTGATTCCAATCCTTTGCATAGTGCCCAGTGTTTGAACTTGATTTTGGTTTATTGTGTTTTATAATTTGAGTTGAGCTTGTTTGTGACTTTGATTGCTTATGAGACACATTTGCTTATAATTATCTTCTGTCAATCAGTTAATGATGTTGAGGATGAAAGAGTAATAAGGAGGCCAAAGGGTGTGCTCACGTTGCTAATAATCACATTTCAAGTGAATTTATTGGGACGCATCAATGGATTCACGAGTCAAAGCGCTCGTGCAAACAAGATCTTTCCGTTTCATCTCTTTTCATCTTCAATTTTTCTAATCTGTTCAATTCATAAATTACTATCAAATCGTCCCTTGTAATTGGACGGGTTTTGCATGATCAATGAGGCTGAAAGAAATTAGTTTCATCAATATTTTACCACATTAAAGCATACTTTTGTTATTAGAAAGTAAGAAAAATCATTAACATTGAATTAACTTAATTTCAAGACCATCATTAAATTTCCTTCTTCCATAATCGGGTTACACATAAGGGAGTGAAAACTGAGTCCATTTGTGCGATTAAAAATTTTTCATGATCAACTATTTTCGGTAAAATCGCATTCAAAGTTCAAACTTTGACCGCTTTTTGTACAATTATGGAGTCAGGCTTCTTTATCAAACTGCTTTCCTTTTGATTTTACTTTTCAGTCAATTGAAATTTCATCCAAAGTGTTGACAATCTTTTAATTATTTACTGATATTTGATTACGCCAAAAATAGTAGTTGAGATCGACATAATTATATTGATCGATCTGTTGTTCAAAAATAAAAATAAAATTCTGGGCAAAGGTCCACCATTTAAGCGATGATTTTGGACTGGACTTGGTTTTTCTTCTATGTGAATTGAGTATATAAATATATTCAGTTGGCTAAATTTTTTTGAATAAATTATGAGTAGGAATTAATGAGACTGTTCATTGATTTTTGTAATTGTTTAAACATTTATTCATGAATTAACATTAAGAAAATTATTTTGATGAGAAAATCTAGTTTCACAACTGTAAAGCGATTGACAGGTTGACTCAGTTTTTCCTCATGTCCTTAAAACCCACCAAGTCTCCACTCTTAACTTGTAATAAGTCTGAGTTTTTGGAAATTTCATTTCTTTTTAATATGATTGCGATCTTCGATTCAAATTTTACAAAAATGACTTTGACCAACATTTGACTGAGCATTAATTTTTTTTCTTTTTCATCAACAGGTTTAGAGTCATTAAACTCGGAAGCAAAGCCAAGTTTTGCAGGTTATCGGTCAACCGATTCAAATAATAATAAAAAGAGTGCTGGTGCTCGAGTGGCTGAAGTAATCGATCGATTAGTTCAACAGAGGAAGAGTGAAGGTTCCTCTCCGCACATTGTTGTGGTTGCACCATTATCCGATAAATCAAAGAAATCAGGTTCAGCTACACAGACAACCACACCAAAGCCTTCAACTACAACTAGTACTCAGTCACCACGGAATCGTTACAATGATGAACCAGGAGCGTTTTCCCGGGATGCAGATACATTGTTAGCTGCTGCTCATCTTTTAGCTCGCCATTCAATTGCATCAAAACGATCTGACGATGAAAAGGGAATCTTTTCAATTGAGACAAGTTCAAGTGCAGAGAAACCTGGTTTCGAATCAGCCAATTTGATTGCTGCTCAACCAATAGAGACTGTTGAAAATACAGGCAAAGAAAATGTAAACACCAATAATTATTCACCAACTAATGCTAATCAACAAATAGCTAAAAATGCACACGCAGGATCCATGGAAAGATCGTTCAATGGGCAAGGTTATCAGGGTGGACATATGATGGCCTCAGCCTCGCAACATCATCCAGCATATATGGTATCAAGGATGGGTCATGGGCCAATGCCAAGTCATTTTAGATCACATCATGGAGCTATGGGTCAAATTCATCATCAACAGCAACAGCAGCATCAACAGCAGCACCAACACCATCAACAAGGACACCAACAAATGATGGTTGCTGCAAGTCAACAAAATCCAACTTATGTGTCATCTTATGGTCAACATTTCCAAGGTTTTAATGGAGACCATCAAGGACCACAACATCACCATCCTCATATCCAAGGCCCTCCTCAAGGAAATCAAGGCTCACAAGTGTTAGGCCCTCAACAATCAGGTAATCAAGGTTATCAAATGGGACACCAAAATCAACCAAATGGACAGCAAGTTGGTCGTGATTACCAATTAGCCGCTGAAAATTTCCCTCGTCCAACATTCATCAATAACAGAGAATCATATGTAGCTCAAGAAAGTGCTCCACTTCTCGACTTCCATGCATCTCAAGTTCCACCCGAAGAAGAGTCTGGTGGCTATCAAGAATCATCACCAGCAAAAGGATTAACTTTCCACTTTGGAGGTGGCCCAGTGGGTGGAGGTGGCCAAGTAATGACCAGTCCACTTGGTATTTTTAAAACTTTATTGTTACCACTTTTACCCAAGCCAAGAGTAAACTTAAATGGTAAAGTTGTCTTTGGTGTTGTCCTAGAAAAGGGAGTTGGTTATGGAAAACAGAAGAAACACCATCCACCCCCTCCACCTCCACCACCACCACCACACGGTTTCCATCATTTCGGTAGAAGAAGATAAAACTAGAATAACAAATAATAACTATTTTATTCGTTCACAATTATTATAATTATTCACAATGGAAATTGAGAAATCAAACAAAAAAATTTACCATCGATTTTTTAAAAATCAAAACAAACCACCATCGATATCATCTAATTTTCCCTCCTTTTTCAACTCATAAGCTTTTCATCTTCTCAAAGTGACTCTCATTTTCAACTTTTGTTTCTATTAATTATTTAATTTAAATAAATATAGTTTATTAAATATTTCTTAAATAAACTTGTCTTTTTTCAAGATTTTATGAACATGTGCATCGGCATCACGAAAAAAGTCGGTTACTAGCCAATCGTTTTAAAAATAGCAATAGTCGAGTTCAATCAATATTAAAACGAAATACGAGAAACTTAACTACCAATAATGTAACAAGCGAAAAGAATCAACGCTTTCGAAAACAGTGCCACCGAAACACAGCTTTCTTGCTGATCTGTATTAAGTACAGTCTGTATTAAGAATGAGAGCTCTATTTTGGCATTTTGAGGTCTTCAATTCGCTCATTTCCATCATTTCAAATTTCGAGCTAATGGCTAGCCCATATGAGATTGGCGAAATGATACACATTATGTGAATTTCAAAAGATCCAAGATGATTGTTTATTATTGGAATAGCTTTAAAAATATGATCAACAGTGAATTTTAAAATCGAAGCTCTTTGAGTTTTTCTTGGTGTGTTTTTCAAGAATATGAATGAGTTTCTTGCTTCGCATTTCTAACGAAATCACATGGATTGTGAAAGTTTCCGTGGTCATTTTGAATTATTACAGCTGAGATGGTTAAAATGAAACACTAAGCAGGGAAAAACAAAACACTGAAGAATTTTTTAGTTTAAGTTTCTTGCCAGCGAATTCTTTGTTGGTAATAGTTTATTACAAGTTGCGGCCAAGTTGTGTTGGCGATCGATGAAGGTATCAAGTCCTTTTCTTCCTTGTTTTTCCACTTCATTTTGACCAAAAGTCCTTCGGAGCTATTGTTTACGACACCAATGACTTTATCAGGAACTAAACTTTTATCAATGGTGTGCATAATTTTATCAGAGCCTGCTTTATTCTGCTTTGACTGATTCTTTTTAGAACTAGGCGGATTTCTCATTGCATCATCTGATACAGAGGAATTAGAGGACATCACGTTATCAACACCAATCTTTTCATTCAAAGCTGTATTTGGTTTATCTACCAAAACTTCTGTTCCATTTGACTCTGTCGATTTTCCCGATTTTCTAAAAAGATGAGAGCAAATAAGTTAAAATGAAGGAAAAATACTGAGTCAACTGAACAATGATTCTGAGGCATGATGAATAAAAAGTTGAATAATTCACAAGACAACGAGACAATGTAAGCTTGTGAGACTGAAAACTTACTTGATTTTCTCTTCAAATTTAGATATTAATTCGAAACAAGAAAGATGTTCCTCTGGTTCCCACGTTGACTCTGACCAATCTTTCCAGTGAAGTAAATATTCAACTCGACCTTCTTCAGTAACCCTTTTGTCTACGACTTCCTCGACAATCCATTCACTTTCACTGGATTGAGATGTATTGTTTGTACGTTTACCTTTTCTTCTCGTCATTTTTATTACCTTTCAAAGATAATAATACCAATAATCTTGAGTTACTTTTCAAATCTCTAGAGAATTGGAGAAAAAGAAAATGCATGTTAAACATGTGTAAAAATGTAAACTCGGGTATAGAAGGAGAAATGCTATACAGAAAAAGATTGGCGGTATTTGAAGACACAAAGATAGGAAAACAGTTTTAAAAGAAGATGAAAAAATAAGATTACCTTATCAAGTTATACTTGATAAACACAGATAAACACAAGAACTAGATGATAATTATCAAAATAAAATAAAATTTAACAAAAAAATTAGGTTATTGGAATCAACGAATAGAAAAAAGCGAAATTAATAAATAGATACAGCAACAACCAGTCATGAAACTATCTTATGTTGGTAAAAGGGGTTGTTACACAATCTACTACTGTCGAGTACCCGGTTAAAGCAATTAACACAGATAAACACAAGAACTAGATGATAATTATCAAAATAAAATAAAATTTAACAAAAAAATTAGGTTATTGGAATCAACGAATAGATTACCTAAATCTTAAACGCTGAAAGCCATTATCACTAGATGGAGACTGAGAAACACAAGTTGCTTTAACCGGGTACTCGACAGTACGCAGTAACTGACCATTCACTGGTCAATGCTTTAATCTAACAATAATTTAAACATGTGCCAATTGTTTATATTAGATAGTAGATTTTTTAATTTCCTACAAATTAAAAATAGATGATCCAGCAATAACATTATTTGAAAAGTAACATATTACATTTAGTGTTAACCCCTCAAACCTGTTAAACTACTGTTTTGTACGCTTCGCTAACTTGAGTTCCACAAAAATATTTGATATTGCCTAACATTTTGTAAACCAAACCGTTAATTATTTGAATTATTTATCATAATGAAGTCATTTTAATGGATTATTTTTAATATTCAACTGTATCACTTTTTTAGATGCTAAAGTCACATATGATTCATATGAGGTAAGCTGTCTCTCTCTCTCTAAATATAATAAGAAATTCAATCATGTTAACCATCAACCCCAACTAATGGACTGATTTTATTTTTTCACCTCAGGTCTATTTTATAAGAAATATTTTAAATTTTTGACTATCTTACCTACATTCTAAGTATGGCATCTTCGAGTAGTAACAGTAAGCCCAGTACTTCAACTGGCGTCCGTCCTCGTAATTTATTGGATTCAACAGCCCCAACGCCTCGAGGTAAAGAACGGAGGAATCCTAAAGAGCAAAAACCAAAAGCATTGCGAAAACAATTGAATAAGGAAAGAAATTTATTAAGATTAACAATGGCGGAAAGAGCTGTAGTTTATCAAGACTCCGATTCCATCCTGATCCTTCCTCAAAATACCTTAATTCCACACAGTTCGACAGCACCATTTACTATTGTGAATAAAAGAGACTTAATTCCACAGTGTTCGAAATCACCTGTTACTATTATTGGTAAAAATGACACAATTGCCCACTGTTCGAGACATCGTGTTACTATTGTTGGTAAAAATGACTCAATTCCACATGGTTCGCAATCATCATATGTTACTGCTGAGGAGAGTATACCAGAAGGATCTCGAGTTCCCCATATTGACCCAGTGATAAATTATGAAGAAATTTTATCTAAAAGATTATCTCAAATTGGCCTTGTTTCTAGTGTTGAAGGTCTTGTGCATTACACTTTACATACTTCCAGACACCGAGAGTATGCTCGTCAAGCGTTGACAAATGAAATTGAATTCACCACATATGTCATATTAGTAAACCTACTTCGTTTCCAGGATCGAGCTTTTCATAAAGCGCCAGAGAAAATGGAAACTAAACGACGTTTTGTTTGTGGCTTTAATCAGGTCAATAAATATATTCGTACTAATAAAGTTAAGGCTGTTGTTATTGCTCCAGATATCGAACAAGTTATAGTGGATGGTATTCTCGATGAGACCGTTGAAAATTTAATCCTTGCATGCCAAGAGAAACAAATCCCGGTTGTTTTTACCTCGACCAGGAATCGTCTAGCAAGAGTTTGCGCCAAAACGCCTCGTTCTCAAGTTTCTGCCGTCGCAATTATTGATTATTCAGGTGTTCACGTAAGGATTCATCGCTTTATAGTAATTCAAAGTACTTTTTTTATTTCAAGTTTGGGTTTTCAATTTCTTTTTCAGGAAGAATTTAATAAATTGATGCAATTTGTAACAAAAGCCAAAGAAACTTATGATAGAACTCAAGCTATGTTGGTACGTTATCTGGAAACTTTGCCTGAGAGTACTTTCGAAGAATTTCGTGAATTTATTAAAGAAAAAGGGCACCTTCCACGTGAATTGCAGACTTACAGAAAAGCCGTCCATACGCCATTAAGACGCACCATATATAGTTACATCAGATTAATAAAACGAAGGAAATATTAACTTTTTCCTATTTTCCTCGGAATATTTAATAAATTATCAGTTAAAGATATATTAGAAGTCGGTTTTGGAGTTGTGACTTTCATCAAAGACGATGGTGAAGGGGTGATTGGACTTTTCAATCGATTATTTGGAGTCCTTGAGATAGAGGGTGAATAACTACATCTAAGTTCTTTATCAACGTTCTTGTTGATCCCCAATCTGAGAGTGGCCAATTTTTGCGCTGCTGGTGACATAGATCCCAAACTTTCATTAAACGTTTTCCCTCCACTATATATTAAGGGACTGTTCTTTAAATATTGTGCTTGTTTGTAGGCTTCTTTCTTCTTATTTCGGTTTGTTTTATTAATTTTATCTGCTAATGCATGTCCGATTTGTTCCCTCTTTGGAACATCGGGAATTCTAAATTGTGGAGTACCAGAAGGCAGCGAAGAACTAGTAAGCAACGGTGTCTCACTTCCATCCAAACTGTAAGGAGTACCTTCGATTTGACCCCAAGTCATTAAAGGAGTGTTAGTAACACCTGGAGCTGGAGAAGGAGTCAGCGGTACAAAAGAATAGCCTCCAACTTTAGGAACATTATTGATGAGTTCTTTACCATCGATACCAATTTTGCCCGTTTTTTCTTGAGAGGCAACAAGAGCAGCTTCAGCTAACACAGATTCGCTAAGATTTTCATTGAATGGGTTCTTCTTGAACCTGGTATTTTCATGGCAGATTGTTGAGTGTGGGTTAGGTGCAAATTGGGTGCCATCTTTGACTCCTTCTGGTATGAACATCAATGAATTGAGATTTTTATAAGCCCAAGCTATTCGTCCGACGGTACCATCAGCTCCAATCATGTCTTGTCCTTCTATGGAGGGTAAAGTCATTCCATCTGTAATCATTTGATTCATCTTTTCTTCCTCTAAATACAACCATGGATATTTTTGTCTATGCCTTTTTTCAGCTTCTTTCATTATATCATCGAAAGACGCATTATCTTCACTAGTGTATTTAGATAAGAATGCATTCAACGAGAGATTTGTTTTAATCTTTTTCTTGGAAGGTTCTATTGTATCTTCAGTAGTGTCATCTCTTTCATTGACTTCCTCAACAGGGATTGTAATGTTAGGTGTTTCAAATGTAAGCGGAGTAGCCGTCAATGGGGCTGAAAGAGTAGCTGCTTGGCCTTGTACGAGTGGATTATCCAATATCTTTAATTGCTGCTTCATTTTACTTAAAGCTGGGTAAAAGTCTCTTTCAATAATACAATCAAGAGCTTCGATGAACTCATCTTCTTCCAAAACTATTGGTTTCCTTTTCTTTTCAGCTGGTACTAGAGATGAAGACGATGTTGACGAAGAGATTAAAGATGAATTATTATCCTTTTTGATTAAAGCCATTTCTATAGATTAACCAAAAAAAGGACACTACAAAAAGTTACAAAAGAGAAGCTCGCGAACAACAGCCACTTAACTCAATCTAATGAAACTTTACGACCCCGATAGGACCTTAAAGTAAAGATTGATAATAATAAATGCCAAAAATGAATATAAACACTTTAAATCAACAATTAAATAAACTAGACAGTAAAAAAATAAACCACAACAAATCTTTGTTTACAATTAAAATTTGACAGACTCAATGAAACCAGCTAACAGATGGCAGTAGCTTTAGCGTAACCAGAAACAAAACCGGTTCATTTAAATAGATACCGAAAAGGTGAAAATTGGTTAAAAATTTCAACAATCAAATAAATCACCAACAATTTACTCCATTCAAAGTGTTTAAAAGAGCCAAGCCTTAAGATTGTTGCATCAATCCTTTTAAATAGATTCAGTCTCTCATTAAAATGTATCGATTCTTAAAAAGATGAATTCTCTCAGATTGAAATTCTGGAAATAAACAATTCCAGTTGAATGATAAAACATTTAAGCCCTTCATGTTAAAGAAAATAAATTGATGTTTAATCAATCGTAAACCGAGGTTTAAAGGAATGCAAGAATCCTTGAATTTCGCTAATGTTTACATGAAAAAAGCTTTACCAATGTTATCGAGCAACTATCAATCTTTGAATTACAATTAGTTAATGAAATTGTCACCCTTTTATAGATTGAAATAAAAGATGAAACAAAATTGAATGGTTATCAATAATGACAGATGTTAATATTTGCCTCTCCAGAGATTAATTAAATCGCTGAACAAAGGCAAATGAGTCTACAATCAAATTGACAAAAGTCAGGTTAAAATGTAATGCAAATGAAGAGCCTGAAAATTCATCTTTATTAATATAATATTCATGAGGTGAGACAAAAGGTAAAGGTTAAAATGAAATGTAACCCAAAAACAATTGAAACCAAGAGACGGAAAAATTCAATTTAAAGGTATATAAATTGTAATACTTTTAATATTCAGTAAAAGTATTCATCATTGATTAGATATTATCATGAAGGAAGAAGAGGAAAAAGGGTAAAAATAAAGATTAAGATGAAAAAAAGAGGTAAAAGTAAAGGAACGACTAAAAACAGATTAAAGTTGATCCAAAGTGAATGTTGAAAAGATGTGATTTCAAAGTAAATCAACTCAAGGTTCATCAATAATTGAACCATCAGATTTTAGCGGGAAAAGGGAAAAGAGTCCAAAATTAGATTAGACAAGTTGAAAGTCCAAGAATTAAGAGGTTGCGAAAGATAATCTTCTGAGCATTCACAGAAACTTTCGGATAAAATAATGATAATAATTCAACTGTTTCATTCTGCGCCTTCTCAATTTTCATCTCAACTCACCTAGTTTTTTACATTAAACCAACCTTTTTCGTCCAACCGTTTTAACCAAACTCATCATCGTTATCATCATTTTCATCATCATTCTCACTTTCAGAGTAAAAATTCCATGGAGAGAATGAAAGAGAAGCAAGAAAATGAAGAAGACCAAAGGAATAGTGATTCTTAAAGAAAGCCATTATTTTCATTTGTTCATAACCTTTCCTCACCAGTGGCTGTTAGATCAACATTCAAGCAAATCTTATATTTTTGTTCAACAGTAAAAATCGGACAAACATTTTTGGATAACTTTATCATCTAAATCATCTTTACTCTCACTTTGATCGTCATTTTGTTCATCATTTGATTTACCATTAAAAATCATAACTCAATCTTTGTTATTCAGTGAGTTTGATTGGTTTTGTTTTTTCACTGTTGCTTTGCTTTTTCCACTTTTTCACACTTTCCTTTTCAATTTGATGATCAACATTCAACTTGTTCATCGTCTTCCTCATTCATCATCATCATCATCATCTAAAAGTGAGTAGAGAAAGGTGAAGAGAAGAAGAAGAAATAAAGTGAAAGGTAAAAATGAGATTCCCATCAGTCTTAATTGTCATCAAATTAACCTAACATTTTCTTACCATTATTGTCATCTACAAGACGAAGAAGAAGAAGAAGAAAATCTCTCTCAAAGTCTATCAACTTTCCCCTGTTTATCTCTTAATCTTCATCTTCATCATCACTTGTCTTGCCATCAACTCGACAACATTTAACAACAACAGTCATACAAAACATCACATCATTTGTATCTTCAAACCTCATCATCTTTCTGATAAACATCATCATTTCCCTGTCATTCCCTTTTCTCATCTCATTTTTCTTTCTCTTTCATCTTTTCCATCTCAACATTTGCGTATTTATAACCAACAGTAAATATAACTAACGATGATGATGAGATGATAAAAGATGAAGCCTGATGCTTCATGTGAGAATTGGCAAGAAAAAGTTGCAAAAAAAGCGATTAAAACATGATTTACCTTCGATTAAGAAAACCAAAATATTAACCAATTATTGGTCCAATTGTCAGTAAATTGTGTCTGCAAATTCAATATCATTTCAATCAAAATTGGAACTTTATTTTTCTGTGATTTTTTCAGTGTAAAAGGAAAGAACCAAACGGACAAACCATGAATCTAAATCTGTGTAAATCAAGAGGAGGCGGAATCAGTGCTCGAACCAAATCTTTGAGGGAAAAATTTAGTTCCAAACGGAGTTACTCTGAATTAACATTTAAAGATTCAACCACTTCATTGACCGAAACAACCGATTTATCCTCACCAGGAACTTCATTTAAATCTCGCAATCCACCAAAGGTAAGCCAATGTTGTAATCTATTGTCCATAAATGATTGAACCACAATTGATTAGTTTCCTCATATTGATTATTATACCAAAAAAACAAGGAAACAATGAACCAGAAAAACAAAATGTTAACCCAAAAACAAACTTGACAACAAACGACAAGTAAAGTGATAGATTAGGTGAATACAAGAATAAAAAAGGTTTCTGATTATACATTAAATTAACTTTATCATTTTCTCTGTTATTATATTGTGATTATTATTGCTGCTATTATTATAAGTTAACTGTTAAATTGAGTGAAACGGTTAATGTTATTGGGTTAACCGCAGACTTGACAATCCGATTAAAGGCAATTCAAATGTTTACCATTGATTTAACTGGTTACACTTGATACTGTCCAATGTAATTTAAAACTGTAATTAAATTGTTCATCTGTTGACATTGAAATTTATTTGATTATCCAACAGTTAATTCAATAAGAAATGAACAGATGAACTAGCAAAGTGAAAAAGGTAAAAGTAAAAGAAGAAGAGAAAAGAAAATTTTGTTTTTTCAATTGAAATTTTTCTCTATAACTGGCTCTTCTCATTCAAATGAATGGGTGAACACAATAAAATGGCAGATAAAACCATGATTTTTTTTCTTGTTCCACAAAATGAAACGTTCAGTGGAACAACTTTTGCAATCAGATAACAAGCAGTTTCATTCATAAGTTGATTGTTGAGATCAGCAGAAAAGGCAGCAAAGAATCAGGCAAAATAAGATAACTCATAACGAGGAAACACACGAAAATAGGAAAATGTCATCATTACCGTTGTCATTAAAGGGCAACTTTTTTTGACATTTGTCATCTAATTAGCATTTCATGACAATTGACTCGCAATTGCCAAGTTACTCCTTTGATTGCTTTCATTTATTCCAATGATTTCAATTGAAATTGTCGGTCGATTTTGCTTGTTCAACCTAATGATTGGGTTTTGTTGACAAAATTTGTTTTTTCCCTTTTCATGACAATTGTTATTGTTGAAAGTTAATCAAAATGTAAATGTTATCGAATGTTCATTTAAAACTATTTCTCTCTGGTTCGCCTTTGATCTTGAAATGAGACCAGATGAAGTATGTAATGGTTTTGTACGAACAAGTTTCATTCGCAATACCATTGAGTAATGTTAATGATGATCAAGATGAACATGATCATGATGATAATGATGATGATGAACCTTTTGATTTCCCTTTATTCAGCAAAAACATTAACATTCCTTGACTTCGCTCTTTTCATCCTTTTTGCCAACTTTTTTTGTGTAATCATTTGAAAGGAACCACAGCAAAACTGTAAATGTAATCATAATGGAAACATTTATTACAATTTTAATAGTTGAACCAAAATTAAATTCACTTTTCCTTTTCTCTGTAACAGTACAATTGATTGATTTAGTTTGCTTTGGTTTGCTTATTGGTTACATTGAAATTTATTCATTAACTGTTGATTTAATGTTAGTCAATTTGAGATTCTCTTGATATTAATAATGGAAACTCTCAATCATGTCAATGTTTAATTTCATTAATAGTGTCTCATTTTTTACCTCTTAATTATTAACGTTAGTCTAGTTGATTAGCTATGTTGTCATTGACACTCAATTCAAGTCTATCAATGTTGTCATCTGAATAAACATTGCTAATAATGTTGATCATTGTCACCATTATAATCATCGACTGAAACTCATCATTTGTTGTTGTTCATACAATTGGATGAGATGAAAAGCGCCAAAAAAATGATTCTCAACACAAATGATTCACTGTTAATGGTAAACAAACAAACAATTTGACGTGTTTTCATCTCTATCATCTTCAACCTCATCATTCTGATCGTTACTCAGTAAACAATCACCTTATAGTCGACATCAATAAATCAGTTTATTCGTTAATCTTTTCTCTTTTTACTTGCATTTCCTTTTGATATCGTTTCTCTATGAATTGAAAGAAGAAAAAAATGATTCTGATGATTATTTTGAAGATGATAAATTGCATGGAAACGATGCTTAAACTGAAATGAATCGAGGAAAATGAAATTTGTGCGATTTTCACCATTTATCCTGCAATAATTTCTCTCTTCTTTCCTTTATCAAACAATCTTCAGCTAAAGTACCTCTTTAGCAAAGTAACAATACTGCACTCGAATCAGGCTGAAGCCATTTAAGCTGAAGCAAAGTTTAGTTTTGAAAAATCGTACATCGTATTATCGATAGAAGTTATCGACTTTGCAGTCACTGGATAAAGCGCAGAAAAAGTAGCGTTTGCAGAAAATAACCTTTGTATAGCAGTTTTAGGTAAACGAATTCATGACGAACGATCTCAAAACGCATGAAAACTTATGTGCACATTATGCGTCTCGATCGAATGGCATCACTCACTTTGAATTAATCCCTGTCATTCGCCTAGAATATAAGTTTTGCGATTGGTCGTCTATTTGGCTTTTTTACGCATTGATTCTTATCACATTTAGCTAATACATTCAGACCTGAGCTAACTTTTTGTGTGTGTGGACTGGTCAGTCGTGGCAGCTTTTAATGCACCTTTTTGCCCACCCATATGCACAGGCTTTATCCAGCTTAGCTAGAAATCCATCAAGAAATGAGGATGGAATAGTACAGGAGCTCAACCTGATTTATCTACTACTTTAGTTCACACTAACTTCGTACTTGGCTTGATTGAGCCACAGGATGCGGAGTACAGCATATGAAAGTTAACAATTTTAGCCCGATGTTTCTCCGTTGTTCAATGCTTGTTGATGGTACTGATGATGTTGGAGGAATACCCGATAGAGGATATTACCCGATCACCTCTAAACACTTGCATACATTGAAGTACAGTGTACATTTCTTAGGCACAATAAATTTCAACGCAAATATTGATAAAATGTTTGAATTTATTATAGCATAATGCGTAATTGAAAGGCATAGACGCAAAATTGTGAGCATGAATGCTATTGAATTAGAATAAAATTTATGTTGTAAATTGAATTGGCAAGTCGCATGATGCACGGATTGAAAATAGCCGCAGTCAGTGAAAATAGCAATTATTTTACTGTTCATTTTAATTCCATTGATTTTCAATAATTTTCAATTGTTATCTTTGATGAATTGACAATGGCCTCATTGAAAGGTAAGAATTGATATCAACAGCTTAAGTAAAATGTTTACTGACTAAATCTTGTCTCTGTTTTCAGAATCTATACGCAATAATTGTAGCTAGAAAACAAATAGAATTATTATTGAAAAATGAAACAAACTATGTGAGTTGCCTGTTAGCATTGATCGCAATTGGATTGAATAAAATTTAATGCAAACATGTTTCGGCAAATCATGTCAGGTTTGTGATGGTATCTTGATTGAAACCTTTTCCGAGTCTTTTTCTCGCTAGAACCAGAGTCCAAATCAATGATGTCTTCAGAAAAAAAGAGCTACAACTTCAGGTATCTCAACTTTCCTCAATTAGACTCTAAAGTTTAGTTTCACTCTTTGATACATGATACTCAGTCCTTTATTGAAACAAACCAATACATTTGCATCGAGCGTATTTGATCTTGAAATATCTCATAAATTGTACAATTTACATTTCTTATTCTTATGCATCATTTGATGATATTTCCTTTAATCATTGACATTTGTCTTTCCATTATTCGAAGCTAATGAATTTAGATGGCTAATTGTGTTCTAGTTTCGATTCACAGAGAGATTGTAAATTTGCCGAGATTGTTGTTCTCGTTAATGATGAAATTAATTGAATGAATGGTTGGAAACCTCAATTGACTGGCTGATGAAAATTGACAATCAAAGTAGAGTAAAAGCAAAGTTGACATTTATTATCAAAAGATTTTTTGTTTCTCACAAAGCGAAGTGACAAAAGAAAGTAAACTGAATTGAAAGAGAAGTGACAAAGACAATGGAAGAAAAGCGATAAAACAATAGCCGTGATGATGATGATGATGACTTTTACCTTCTCCTTTCAACCCTTTTCGCCTTTCAACTGAATCCAATGAACAATTGAATGATTTTGATAGAGTAAAGATGAGCTGTCATTGGAAGACAATTTGAATTTACTGAGGCAACTAAACTAAAATGAATGTGATTCAATGGATTTCATGTAACATTAAATATTAGCTGTTTACAGGGAGTTTAAAAGTATAAAGAAATGGTAACTTGATTTTGAGTCGACATTTATTATCCAAACTGAACAACAATTAGAATCTGGAAAGTGAAAAGTTTACAATAAATCTCTTCTTCTCTTTACATTAAACATCATCAAGATTGTTAGCGATTTGATTGAATGAGAATGATGATGAAGAGAGAAAAATTTAAAATCTTTCATCGTGATCATGATGAACAAGATGATGGTTATCATGTTGCTGATTATCTTGGAACTTGTCCAAGTATAAATCATTGAAATGTTGAGATTGACTGGAAATGGATAATGATGCACAGAATAGCAATCAAAATATTCAAAGCATTTCACCTTTTCTTCTTCAAATGGTTTTTCATGGAAAACTCGAGTCAGTTGATAATTAACTCATAATCATGGCAAAGCACAATTTGATTAGAAAATGAAAATTTCAATTTCAAAGAAAACTTAGAATTCAAATTCATCTTTAAATGTTGACTCTGAGTTTTTGTCTGTAAATGAAGTTTTTGCATTATTCGTAAAATTTCTTGAATCGTAAAAATCGGAAAAGTAAAGATGAAACTCAATCAGGTTGATGATTAAAATGGATAATTTGGATTCTTTCAAAGAGCAAAGTTGGAAATGAATTTTTGATTGCGTTTCAACTCTACTTTTAAAAGATGATTTGGCTTCCAATATTTCAATATTTGCGTGTTTTTTATTGATTGGTGAAATTAGTTTGAGTTTGTTTAACTTGAAAACTAACATTGCAATTGTAAAGACGATGTAATCATTAAAATTTCATCATTATCTCATTATCAACACTGAACAATATGTAAACATGTTTCGCCAAA